ATTAGAAGTTTAGCAATGATCTGTTCACCTTGCTAATTAATAAAACTCTAAAAATTTTCAATGTTAATAAACTTTTATTCAACTTTTTACAGAGAGAAAAATCGGAACGTTCTCCTCAATCCAAACAAAAAACTTAAAAATATTTGAAATTGAATTTTACTTTTTAAATTCAATAAATGCACAGCCAACTGGGTCGCCACAGTACCCCCTCCTAGCGATGGAGTACTAGCAACAACGCGACACCACAACTAAGTCGACAACACCACTCTTAATCCCGAAATTCCGCTAACCTTGCTGGGAAACGCACTACTCTACCAGCTCGTGTCACTTTCGGAATCGGCAACAGGGATTCACGCCTACAATCACCAGAAGTCACTAACTGATCACCATTCAACAACGCTGAAGGCTGACGCGTTTCTGGAACAACCTGTTCAAGATCATCACACGTTAAGTACGCCGCCTTCAACCTATCATTCGAAACAGTCACCTCTCTCCCACGGCAAACAATAACAGACGTCTTCTCACTACGACTCAGCACCTCAAATGGACCTTCGTAAGGCTGCTCAAGTGGAGCTCGAGCACGATCCACTCGAAGAAAAACGTGCTTACAATTAATAACGCCACGCGGAACATACACAGATGGATGACAATGTCTTGTTGATTCAACGGATTTAACCTTAGCTAAAGCCCTTCGCAACGCCGACACAAAATCAGTCTCGGACGACTTCTGCTTGAAATCCGAAAGCATCTGCCCTGGAACACAAAGAGGATTTCCAAACAACATCTCTGAAGGACTAGCATTTAGGTCTAGCTTCGGTGTCGTTCGCAATCCCAACAACACAAGCGGAAGAGACTGCGTCCAATTACTTGAGGAATGACATCGAATGGCTGCCTTCAATGTTCTATGGAAACGTTCAACCATACCATTTGCTTGAGGATGATAAGCCGTGGTATGAAAGTGTTTCACTCCAAGCAATCTCGTCAGTTCCCGAAATATAGCAGACTCAAACTGCCGACCCAAATCAGTGGTAATAGCCTGCGGAGAACCAAAACTTGCCACCCAACCGTCGATAAAAGCCGCTGCAACTTCTTCTGCCGTAATGCCCGACAGAGGCACAGCAACAGGCCACCGAGAAAAACGATCGACGCAAGTCAAACAATAACGCTTCCCCTGAGACAAAGGCAATGGACCCACAATGTCAACATGAACATGCTGGAACCGACTATCAATATCAGCAAACGAACCAATTGGTGTTTTAGTATGCCGCTGAATCTTGGACTTCTGACACGCAATGCAACTACGCACAAACACAGCTACATCCTTAACCAAACCAAGCCAAACATACCTAGCCTGCACCAATTTCCGCGTTGCTCGAATACCAGGATGAGCCAAACCGTGGAGTTTTGAGAGTACCAGCTGCCGACAGTTTGCGGGAACAAAAGGACGAACACGACTGCCTGACACATCACAGTACAGTTCAATACTCGAATCCGGCAATCTCAACTTCTTCAACCCAACACCATCTTCAGACTGGCTCTTCAGCTGAGCGAGCAACTCTGCATCAGTCTTCTGCCCCTCAGCAATTAACTCAATAACATTTGCCTCCAACTGAACCGTAGCAACCCGAGACAAAGAGTCAGCCACCGTATTATCTGCACCAGCCAGATGACGAATATCAGTGCAATACTGACTAATAAACTCCAGCTGTCTTGCACGACGAGGAGATGCCTTCTCACTTATTTGCCTGAACGCAAACGTTAAAGGTTTGTGATCCGTAAAAATGACGAAATCACGTCCCTCTAATGCATACTTAAAATGCTGGACAGCTTGATAGATAGCAGTCAACTCACGATCATAAGCACTATACTTAGTCTGCGCTGGACTCAAACCTTTTGAATAAAATGCCAATGGCTGAGTAACACCTTTCACTACTTGTTGGAGAACAGCACCCACCGCAACGTCTGAAGCATCAGTCGTGAGCGTCAATTGTGCATCCAGAGCCATGAAGTTAAGCAACGTAGCTTGGGCAAGATCATTCTTGCAAGCCTCAAAAACCTCTACATCTTCTGGAGTCCAAGAAATCACCGACTTATCATTCTTGCGGTTACCTGGTGTAAGATGAAACAACCGCTGCTGATTCTGCACAGCGTTACGCAGAAACGGCCGATAAAAGTTCACCATGCCTAAGAATTGTCTAAGCTGTTTAACCGTTGCTGGCAGAGGAAAATCACGAACAGCTTGAACTTTACTCTCCGGAGGACGTAAACCCTTTGCACTAATAACGTGCCCAAGGAACTCGATCTCGGAACAGCCGAACTTACACTTGGCAAAATTCACGGTCAAACCAGTTTCTCTAAGTCGATCTAAAACCAGTCGCAAATGCATTCTGTGTTCTGCTTCATCTTTTGACGCAATTAAAATATCGTCGATGTACGCAAAAACGAAATTAAGATCACCTAGAGTCTCATTCATAAAACGCTGAAACGTCTGGGCAGCATTACGGAGACCGAAAGTCATAAAGCGAAACTCGAACAGGCCAAACGGAGTTGTAATAGCTGTCTTCGGAATGTCTGCCAGAGCAAGCGGTATCTGATGATACGCTTTCTGCAAATCTATCTTCGAAAACATAGTTTTACCATGAAGAATACTCGTCACATCATGAATGAACGGAATCGGATACCGATCAGGTTTAGTTTGCGCGTTGAGCATGCGATAATCGCCACACGGTCTCCAACTTCCATCGCCTTTGCGAACCATGTGAAGTGGACTTGCCCAACAGCTTTTCGAAGGTTGACAAATCCCCGTCTGGACTAAAAATTGGAATTCCTTCTTGGCTTCTTCAAGTTTGGCTCCAACTAAACGTCGGGGACGAGCAAATGACGGCGCACCAAATGTCTCGATGCAATGTTCAACCTTAGTAACTAAACCCATCCGATTTGCACTCATAATGCCTAAATCACGGTATTCATTAACCAGCTCAGCATAAGCTGAAACTGAACCACACACACGCACAGTATCTTCTTGAGACACAGCAGCCTTACCCTTCATCATCAAAGTCGTCTTCGAATCAACTAACCGCTTCCTTTTCAAATCCACTAACAAGTCATAGTGATTAAGGAAGTCGGCTCCAACAATAGGGCAGCTAACATCCGCAATCACGAACGTCCACGGGAAATCTCTACGCAAACCCAAAGACAAAAGCAGTCGACGCTCGCCAAATGTTTGAATAGGCGTACCATTAGCGGCATATAAATTAACTGATGCAACACTGTTAGCCCTTTGCTTCCAACGACAGAACGACTTCGGTAAAACTGATATGTCCGCACCAGTATCAATGAGGAAAACGGTCGACGTGGCGGGATCTTTAATACTAAGTCGAGCTATACGAACACTAACCCCTTCTCGGCTCGACGACGTAGAAGGAGTGCCTAGTTTTTTGACTGATGAGAGCTTGCCACAAAACTACAGGGTTGCCGACAAGCATTAGCTCTATCACCAAACCTTTCGTGATACCAGCACCAATCTGGATGACTTCCTGGTCGGGAACGAGTTCGCCTACGCCTCCTCGATGACGATCGACTTTGCACCGACTCACTACGACGTAAATCCAAACGACTCAGACGCTGTTCGATTTGCTCAAGTCTTCGTAAAATCACAGCATTCTCAGAATAGGCTGGACAATCAGAGGCTGACGCTACAGCTATCTGTTGAAAATCACCCGCCTCGCAAATACGATCTGCTAATTTCGCCAGTTCTGCTAGTGCCACGTTCGATGCCTGCAGAATAGCGCGCACTTGTGGTGGCAAACGCTTCAGCCAAAGAGACTTAAGGAACTCATCGCTCACCTTGTCTTTAGCTAACGCTGTCAACTCCGTTAGCAACTGTGTTGGGCGTCTATCACCAAGTTCAACTTCTGACAACAACCGTTGAATCTTCCGCTGCTCGCTCTCACTGTACCGCTCTATGATGCAAGCCTTTAAATTAGCGTATCTTCCAGTTTCAGGAGGATGAAGCACTGCATCACTTACATCGGCGATAACACTTGACTCAATCGCTGCTACTACCGTGTTGAACTGTGTGATGTCACTCGTAATGGCAGCTACTGCGAATTGCGCCTCGATCTGAGCAAACCAAATCTCCGGTCGCTCGTGCCAAAACGGTGGCACCTTCACTGCTACACGGTTTACGACACTTCCACTATCAGAAGCCATTACTACACCTTCGTCTGCAACTGACATCACAGCTCGATAATTAGATATTTAGCTCAGAAGTTAATATTTCTAAATTTAAACTTTTTCAAAATCACGTCGGGGTCACCAATTTAGCAATGATCTGTTCACCTTGCTAATTAATAAAACTCTAAAAATTTTCAATGTTAATAAACTTTTATTCAACTTTTTACAGAGAGAAAAATCGGAACGTTCTCCTCAATCAAAACAAAAAACTTAAAAATATTTGAAATTGAATTTTACTTTTTAAATTCAATAAATGCACAGCCAACTGGGTCGCCACAAGACAATTAATAAAATTTTAATATTAACACTTTATACAATATAACACTTTTGTATATTCATAATCGTTCTTGTGATTTTCAACGAATATAAATTTATTAGTTCTATAATTATTATTGTAATTTCATAAGCGTTTTGTTATTTTCCACGACTATAAGGGTATTGTTAATTTCCACGAGTAAAAAATGTATTAGTTATATAATTTTTGTTGTAATTTCACAAGCGGATTGTTATTTTCCACGAATACATAGAAAAAATATAAGAGAGGAACCAACCACCAAGAAAAAGAAACAACAACCGTTTTAATGTAGAGTTCAATTTATTCTGATCACTTAAATTTTACAAAAACTTTAAGTTTAACATATACATCATTTAAGTTACTCTCAATAATCAAAGCCCCTTCTCAAATAATAAAATTATAAACATTGAAAATAATTTATAATGGGTGATCCAACAACTTTAATAATTCAACGGCAGTAAAGTAGCATGTACCGATAGATCAAATATCAAAAATATAACGTAAAATAGAAGTATTATTTGAACCGTAACTACATTTATAAAAAAGAACATAGGTTTTCAACATAGATTAAAAACAAGCGTTACGACCTTTAATTTACAATGATAATAAGAGTATAAAAATGTAATTATGTATATTTCATTAAAATAATCTAAACCACTTAACATAAATATATATATAATAACGTTATAAGAAAGTTGGTTCAACTTTTGAATTGTAATTTTATTGTCCGTAATATTAATTAGAAAGTACTCATTGGAAATATTATTCCTTTATTAATATGTCCATTAAATTTGAAGGAATAGCATGAATATAGTTCCTAATATTGTGGTTATTTCAATAAGTTAACATACTACAGAAGTATTTTTTACATTCTTACTTATAGATACAGATTCATTGTTATAATACTTCTTACTTAATTAAGATGACAGACATTTAGTATCTACTACTACAAAAGAAAGCTCCTATTTTTAAATTAATTTTAACTTTTAAAATCACATAGATCAAGTGGTATACTATTTTTCATTTACAAATAATCTATAGCATTATTTAGTTATTTACCATATGTACATATTTATTACTTCCATCACTTATTTACATATATGCATCTATATACTTTGTTTGTCTTTTTGTTTGGGACTCCGCACCTTCGGCACATGACATTAAACTATTCACATGTTGTTCCTCTCCTGCCTTGTATACATATCCATTAGCTTTGTCAATGGCATTACGCAAAGTCAACATACTTTCCTTACTTTGAGAATTCAACAAATAATAAGATACTAATGAATAGTCTTCTACCATTGAACAAATTGCCTCATTTAACTTATGATATTTTTTCATTGCTGGTGTATCCTCTAAAGTGTCTAGTAAAAATCTCAAGTTTAAGACTTCTGTGTAGAATTCAATACCAAATTTTAATTTAGACTCATTCTCCTTCAAGAGATCAGCCTTCGAGAGTACATTTACATGTGGTAATCCCAACCGCAGCATCATATTCAGCGACAACAACAATGTTGATACGAATTTCGTTGCTTCTGAACAATAATGTGAATCGACCAAGTTAACTGTCGCTAAATAATATCCTTTTTCTTGCAAGCCATTAAAGATTTTCGCCATTGAGCTGTCGTGTGTGTATAGTTCAACCTGTCCAGGACAATCAAATATAAAATAATTAGTGGTTGCGATGTACTTTTCCAGCTCAGGTAAAAGCCAATTATCAAAATTTTTTTCTAAATATTCTGCGCAATACATCAATGCGCCATTTGGTCCTAAATGCAAGAGATCCATTGTTTCTTCAACTGTTATTAATTTCATAACATCAACTGCTGGCGTATAGTCCATATTCTCATTACCAGGATCTAAATTAACAACGCAGGTTTTTCGTCCCAATTCATTATAAAATTTCTCAGCATTGTGACAATAAGTTGTTTTTCCAGAACCTGGAGGACCAATAATTAACTGTCCATATAATGGTTTCTTAACTTGTCGCCCTATTTGCTGCAACATGACAAATGTACTTTATTATTAAGTATTGTTTAATATAAATATCAACTATATTCATATAAACAGTTTAAAACTAAAATACCAGCTGTCAAATATGTCAAAAATTGCATTGCATTGTGTCTGAAGTAAAATAGTTCGGAAGGCAGCTAATACTACCCTTATATAGATATAACGCTTTCAAATTATTTCAATATGTAAATTGATATGAATCGTTACCATACACGAAGAGAACAATTCAATCTTAAGCAAAAATTTCACAACCAAAATAATGATTAAACTTATAACGACACCCTTCTAATGTGTTTAAATTTATATTTTGCTGGGGTATGCTCAGCCTTCATCCAGGGTCGTTGCACCAAAATTTTTATTCACTGGGACAGAGTTTTGAATAAAAGACGTGATTTTGCAATTTTGTCCAATTTTTTACATATTTATTCACTTATTATTTAAAATTATTGCAGATTTATTTTAAAAAAATTGTGTTGATAAAGCGCGAAGTTTTTTTTTATAACAAAAGTAAATTAGTTTCACATGCACAAAAGAATTGAAAGAATTATGAGCACACAAAGTCTTTGTTTTCTCGGGCGTAAGTGACAAACTGCGATTTGTTTGTTGGCTTCCGTTCAGGTAACTAAACTAGTCCTGATAATAACGCGCTCAATCTTCATAGGACCCTCTTCCCCTTCAGGAATGACGAAAGTTCTGTAAAAAAAATTTCATAATTAATAGTTAAAATAATTAATTTGGTTGAATAAACCAGGTTAGTTATATAACAATTTGGATGAACTAGGATAATAAGCTAATAATGTGGCTAAATAAACCAAGTTTAGTTAAAGTAAACTGTAGACTGAATAAAATAAAAGTATTTATTTTCATTATTATCTATTTTTGTGATAAAAATTCTTCCCATTTTCTTATTTTTATTTAACTCAGAACAAACAAAACCTAAATAAGCTGAACCAAGTAATATGTTATTTATATTTTACTACTTTGGAGTAAAAAAAAAGGTTTGTAAGACAGAGCTGCTTATTAGATGAATTTCTTTAAGTGATATTCAAACAAGATTAAAAAATAACAGATTAAAATTTGAACTAATTAAAAATATCTAAGTCTTATAAACATTTTTATATTTTATTTTTATATTCAAACACAATAGTGTGAATGTATACAAATATTCAATTCATTAATTTGAATTGGTATTATTATTTTTTTAACAACACACCAGTATTATGTAAGCGTTATGTTGATAACAACAGTGAATTTACGTTCAATTTTTTTATAAAGACACAGTTAAATAACTTTATAAAATAATTAATACTTAATAAGTTTCTTTTAAATTATTAAGTATGCAAAACTCACGCAGAGTAGTTAAAATTGGGCGGCCAAATTTGTGTTAAATATTTCGTGTAAAATGTCAATGTAGATATTTTAGCAATTTTAAATTTGACCTGTCAAATTATATGTTACTACCTTATTCTAGACTGAAATAGTTTATAGAGAACGTAAAAAACGCACGATAAAGTAACAAAAAGTGTTTAGATGTTATACAATACACATTGCGCAAAACAACATAAAAGCACATACAGCACAAGTTTAACCGTGTAGCTTGCATATACCTTGCAGTAACATAATATCCATTTAGCAATTTATCACCATATATAAAATAAAAATTATACCGAGGTGAAATGTTAATAAGTACAGTAAATATAACTATATTTATTTAATAATTTTTTGTTAACAATTTGATAACCTGCTTTATATTCCTACAGATGTGAACATGCTCTTTCATAAGTTTTGTCAATAATATCTTAACAATTTTTTCCATATTTTTGTACACATATATAATCATTTATTTAAATATTGTTTAAATATATTGAATTTTAATTGTGCGAAATACACCATTTTAATAAATTAGCTTTTACGATTTATCTTAGGTCTGTTTCACGAGTTACTCGTAGTAACTTTGAGTAACACTGTGTATACACAAGTGCGTTCCACCAGCAAATTTTCAAGGTAATGATAGCATCTGAGAAAGCGTAACATCCCAGTCGAAATTTGAAAATGCTACACGGACTTTACTCGTACATTTTATTTTAAGTGAAATTTGTGTACTGTGTAAGTCAGCTGTTTTGATTTGAATTTAAATGTCCATGTTTCATGAAAATCTGTGTGAAGAGCGTAATTTAGCACTTTATTTGTGTTACAATCTCAATTTGTACTTTACTTGAGTTTTACTACGTGTAGCTTGTAGAACAGACAGAGCAGCTTGTATATTAAAATTTCTATGTATGCAAATGCAATGCCTATATATATATACTAAAATGAATTACAAAATTTTGGATATATTAAAATGGTTTTATTTCTATTGACATGTATTTATTCTTGCAATTATTATTATTATTATTGTTTGTTAAATGTTCGCTGCGTCAAGTCAATATGCATAGTGCAAATGACAACCTTAGTAGATTCAGCACATTGTTTCTGACATTTGTTGTGTCTAATGCGTTGTAGTTAGACAAATGTCAAATATGCATTGAAAATGTCTAAATGTCTCTTGTTTACTTTTTGCCCAAATATGGAAGTGACGGACAGAAAGAGAATATAAATTCATTCTGTGGTGGCGGCTGTAGCAGACTGATTCACGTTGATTTGTTTCTTTCGTGTGTGATTAAAGTTGTCCGTTAGACTATAAAATAAATTTATAAACGCATAATTTCTTAATAATTAAAATTGTTTTAAAAAGCTAACCTTATTTTATTAACGGATAATAATAAATATGGCTCAACAGCAACAACCTGCTTATCAAAATAGTGAGTGTTTGGTATATTTTATCTTTGTTTTAAATGAAATTACCGTATATAGTAAAAAAGTTAAATGAGTCAACTGCATAGGAAGCACAACGACTCTATATTTAACGGAAAAAGCTGATTAATATAAGTGAAAGTGATAAAAAATTAAAAAAATATATAAAAATTACCGGCTTTTATGTTACCGGAACAAGGCCCCGCCCTGTTTTTATAATTATTAAAATATAAATCTTAACGGTTTTGTTTGATATCAGCTTTTAAATATAAAATTTATTTCTATTTCATTGTACGTGTACAGAATTTATTTATGCTTCCTTGCCTCGCACTCATCGTGGTCAGCCTATTGTACTTGGAGCAGATCCTAAAGGCAAAAATTTTCTTTACGCCAATGGAAATTCAGTGATAATACGAAATATCGAGGTAAAATTATTATACATTATTGTTTGTACATATATATGTATATATATAGTTATGCAATTTAAAAGTTATAATTTATCAAAATCCAGCAAAAGTCCCAAAATTTTATAGCTTTTGTATCGAAAAATCGCCCAACCAACCCTCGCTGTTTTATTTTTGGACAACGGCAGCTGCATCTAACGATGAAAAAATTATTTGCCAGTTTGTTTAGTGGCATTTTGTTCTATTTTAATATATTTTTAATACACACAAAATGTTTTGAAATTCAAAATGTTTGCTTTCTTCAGTGCTTTCGTTCAACAATTTTACATTTTCTTGGGCCCACGCAAGAAGTGAGCAAATGTTAGCCGGCTTTGCCAGGCAGCGCTGTGTGCGGCGTCCAATCCAATTAAGTTTACAACAACAATTCAATTAAAATTAAATAGAACAGTTTTAAAATCAAAATATTATGAATTATGTGTCCAGATTTATTATGAGTACATGTATATATACCTATACGAGTATGTATATTTTTCTGTATAAACAAGCAACATATTAATTTTGAAAATTACCAAAATAATATTTATTTATATTAAAATATATTGAATATTGCCTCAGAGCTGAGTTTCCTGTTCGAATTATTTTAAAATAATATTAATATTCATATAAATTATAATTGGTATAACTGATTGTGGTGTAGCTTTAACAGTATTAACAGAAATTCAACAAATTTCTCTAAAAAAACAAATCGCTTACTTTAGCAACTTTTTATTCTAAAACAATCTCGAAATAAATAAAATTTTAGTTCAAGAAACTCATTTCATTACTTTAAATATATGTATATGGCTAGATCAGCTGTGCGTTTTGTCCGTCTTAACACCCATCAACGTAACATATATTTCTAATGCAGCTTAAAAATATTATATGTAGTCCATCTATATAACATATAGTTTAAAGAGATGTATAGAACACAAAATTTGATTAGATTATCATAGAAATATATAGGGCGTGATTAGTGGGGGTGGGGGTTCAAGTAACCAGTCTTCTATTCCATTCAAAATGTTTTGAGCAGTGGTATAGAACCTTTTACTTTAAAAACCTGCTTCTATAATTATTTATTGTATTCCACTGACTTGCTTCTATCTGAGACATCATACCTGTAAAATTTCAATTTGAATAGTAGCTTTTCAAGTTTTTATACCACGCACACTCAAGCATAATAAAAGCACACATTTTAATTTATTTAAAAAATAATCTAACATAATAGGTAACTATTAAAGAAAAATTAGTGAATTATATGTAATTATGATCATTTTAATAGCGTATCATAGCTTTGGTTGTTGTTCCATTTAGATCTGATCTAAAACACATGCGTCAAACAATACTTGCTGGGTCTGCCTCAGCCATAGGGCTTCAGGCGCTCCATCCTTTCACAAAAATAGCAACTACTTACAAAATCTGCAAAGAGTTTTAAGAATATTTGGTATCGTAAAGATCCAATAGTCAGTCAGATTTAGATAACCTATATACAACTATATAATATTTATGAAATCTATTGTCATCAGTCTTTAACACATAAAAATTATATACTTTAGGGTCCTTTTTTTATTTTATTCTTGTTAGTTATTTTTATTAAATTCATATTAAAATGAACAAAATATTTATATAATAAAATTTCTATTTTATTCTCGTACCGATTGTGATTTCGACAAGAGCAGAATCCAGCAATTGCTGATGTCTACACCGAACATTCGTGCGCTGTTAATGTCGCCAAATACTCGCCAAGTGGATTCTATATTGCATCGGGCGGTGAGTGTGTAACAATTTTTTAAAATTATTTTTAAACTATTAAATTTCATTTCTCTGGTTGATTTAGATTTCTGCTTTTAATTAATTGCATTTTTATGTTTTTCATTTACATTTTTATATTTGCACTATATGTTAATAGTTTTTAAAGTTTCATTGCATAAACTTCATCTCTCAGTAATTTCATGGAATTAATCTATTTTCGGAGAATTTTCCTGTTCATTTTAAATTGCTTATTAATATCGTTTTTAATATGAAAATCATCATATGCTCTACTCTTTTACTATTTTTTTGCTGAGGTATTTTATTTAAATAGAAATATTTTATCTTATATATTTTTTTTCTTATCCCATTCTCCAGTTAAGAAATATATATATATTTTTAGTTCTATATTTAAAAAGTCTTATTTCTATTTTAAAAAGGAAAATGTTTTTATGATAAGTACTTATAAAATATAAATTTTAAACGAGGAATACCATATAGAAGGGTTTCTGGCTTGTCCGGGCTTACATTCCCAAAACGGATTACAATAACAACATATAGAATAGAATAGTCTTTTATAGTCTATGAAAAATTTATTGAAATAGAATATCAAACTTTTTAATTTCTTATTTAGTAACAAATCTGTTTCGTGATTTGTGGTATTGGATAAATTAAGTCACTGGCCCAAGTATGGTTCTCAAGCGATAGCAAGAGTGATATTATAATCATATAACAATTGAAAAATACGTTTTTGTACAAATATATCACTATTAATTCTACAATTTCAGATAATTTAAGTTCATACTGCCAACCAGTTAAACAGAATTGCGTTAGCTTTAGTCTTCGCTTTATATGTAATACCACCTATAAGATCAACTTAACATATGTAATTTTAGTTACCATATGTTTAATCAATCCATTGTTTGTTTTTAACATTCAAATACTTGATACGTCTTATTAATCTGCATTTTCATATCTGGCATTGTCTTTGACAGATATATTAAATTCTTAAATCGTTTTAAATCTATTTTATTGCTTGCCATTGACGTTCTTTATTTTTCAAATGATTTTCAAAGTAAACAATAACTAAGATATGAAACACCTCTGTTGAACGAACACCATTCTTGGATAAACAGTTTTTTAAAACATACATTTTATTATCCTCGACTTCATTAAAAAGGCCAAACTATTCATTTATTAAAACAAAAACAAATTATATATAGAAAAATAGCTATAACCGGTTTATTGTTGTATAAGTGTCTTTCTTTACTGAAATTTACTATAACTTTATTTTGGAACAACCTAAGACCTAAGACTCTTAAACGGAGAAACGTTAACTGACAATGGGTCTCTACTTATAAGAACTTTAACTTTATACATTATATTTCAAATATATGATAATACGTGTTATAATATAGATATAAATATTAATATATAAAATAATTTTGAATCTAATAAAATATTTGATTTCTTTTTCTAATGTCAAATTGAAAAAGCTATATTATTGTACTTAAATTTGAGCTTCAATATCAATTAGAGTACTAGTTCTCTAACTATGTAGAAGAGGTTGATATTTCTAGCAAAACTCTCAATAAAAATCAGGATAACATTGTTTTTCTGTTTGTTTTTCCTCCTAAACGCTATATAAACTCTTCTTATAACTAGAATATATATATATAAATCTACGAATCTGAAGTTTTTACGAACAAATCCTTGAATAGAGTAACTGACATCGGTTGAATATATTACATAGCGCCCACACAAACTAATTGATTTAAAAAATTTTCCAACATTCTTTGCAGTTTTAGCTTGGTGTACATAATTCTTTCTAAACCCGTTAACTTATAATTTCAATTCTTAAACTGTGAAAAAATCTAAACTATTATTACGAATTACGATCCTCCTGAAACTGTTGCTAAGCATATATTAAGTTTGTTAAATAGAATCAGATAAATCGGTATAGAAATATTCGTTTCCCTATCTATCTATCGACTAACTTACTAACATATACATAAGTCTAAATTTAATGGAAGCCTTAACTGCAGCTTTACTCTCAAGACGGCGACTATCTGTTTTCTTACTCAAAGGCCTATACAAATTTAAATGTAATAGATTAATGGCTCCATTTTTTCGAGGTGATTAGATTATTTCACCTGGATTTGTTTCTCAATCTTTTATACGTTCTATTGATTTATAGAAGTCCTGTTGATTTGTGGCTTCATTTCATCGAGGTGGCTAGATTGCTTCACCTGCATTTGCTTTGTTAATCTTTTATATATTGAAAGCGTCTTCAATAACATTATAACTTTGCAAATAGATCGTTTTTGAATCCTAACACAACCAGTTTGAATGTATAATAAATTTATTTATTTTAAAATATAACATCAATTTAAAATAATTATGTTATATGTTCTTTCATAGTTATATTTTATATTATGCATTATGTTATATGACAATTCATTTATAAATATGTATTAGTATTTCATTTTATATGAAATTTACAAAAACAGCTTTAGAACATTAAGTAACTAAATAGTAAATATCTAATTTGTGATTAAATTATCTGTGTTAAAAGTATAAAAATCTCGGCAAATCCAAATCTGACATTTTTCTCGTTTTTGTAATATTTTTACTACAACTAAAGTAACTGATAACTAAGATACTTAACATATTTAAACTTCATTTACATAAATTTTTCATATTAAAGACAGACTAACTTTTTTCCGGTGCAAGTGTATGGAGAATGCATTCCATACACCTTAATATATATAAGAATAGTATAAATGTTTAATGAATAACACCTCAATCATTTTCCGTACTCGCATTTAGTCACCTTAACTTCTAACTTAACTCTCATGTCTTCAATGCCACACTTGGCTGCTTATGCAGCGTAAAGCGATCCAAGCTAAACGCTTTAATTTGCTGATTGTAAATAAATTTTTATTAACAGCAAATTATGATGACTCATGGCAATCTTTACCGCCTCTGGAGAACTGTAACTGCTCATTTACCGTTTGTGTTAATGGGTTTCTTAAACTTTTTTTCTTCTGAACAGCCAAGGCAGTGATCGTATACCGCCTCGTAAATAAGTCTCAGATGTTTGAAACGTCATATGCACGCTTGTATGGTCTGTTTAGCAAAATCTCTATAAACTTTTTTATCTATAAAAAATTCGTAAATAATTTGTTTTCTTTCTCTTTGTTCGTAACACTTTTATTGCTTGAAAGAGTAAAATATTTTTACTTTATCTTTTTTACCCAATAAAAATAATAATTTGATAAAGCAATTATAAGAAAAAAATTTTATATATGTTATTTTCTGCCTTATTACCAATTTAGGTATGAAATTTGAAAGTATGTATTTTCTTTTTCGATTTATTGAAAATTCATCTATTAAATATTTCATTTATAAGTGTGAAGGTAGATATGTGGTTTAAATACGACATTCTCCACCTCTCTGTGCTGTTGTTGTTAGGTTCAGCTGTTCTCTGTTCTACTACGGGTATCGAATTCCAAACAATACACATTCAAACTGTAATCAATAGGTTTTATTTTATTAAATTTATCATTAAATTTTTCAAGTTCTGTTTTTAATCACTATTAGATAATGAAAATAAATATTTTCCAAATATAGCGAAAACATTTATTATATTTGCATAGAACAATAAAAGAACATTGTTTATGATATCAACATGTAATAATTGTTACGAATAATTACCATATAAGGTTTACATTTTAATAATAGAAATAATTTAAAATAATAGTTCCAGAAATATCCGAACCGACATCGGCGATTACCTATCGCTCATCACAATTCTGTTTAAAGTTTTACTGCTCCCAAGACAAACATACATCAGAATGTCTCAGGAGAATAGAAATTACTCCACATTAAAAACAGAAAACTAAATTGATCCAATAGAGTTGTTCTTTCTATTGTACAATATATTATTTTTAAGAGATGTGGCGTTGCAACCGTTGAGTCTATGTGCCCCCTTCTGGATTTAGAATAGTAATAGTAGTAAAGAACCTACTTTGTAGTTTTATTGTTTCTTCTGTTAGGATATACATTTTCCCAGGAGTATTTTCCGTTTGTGCATTAGCATAGGGCATTTTACTAGCACATGTGTGGCTGATTCTTTATTCTCTTCGCAGAATCTACAGTTTGCATCCGTATATATACCTAGTTTTGTAAGGTGGTGTTTTAGTTTACAGTGAACTGTTAGGATTCCTGTGATGATTCTAAGTTTTTCTTTTGATAGGTCCATACAATCTATATAATGAATTGTGTTAATCCTGGTATATTATCCCAGTAATCCATTTTATTGTGGCTCTCCTTTATTTTTTTTTAGAGAAATGAGGGCACTAAGTCCTAATCCACAGTCTATTGTACAAAAGCCTATACGTTCTTTAAATCTATACTAAAACTAGCGATGAATGTTGATCGCAGAATAGAACAGAATAGAAATAAACGGGGTACAAGCTCCCAACGGAGCAGAGCACTGCGACCAGATTGATCTTTTGTGCTGCAACTGACCTTAACCGAACAGAAGACATTCCGCTTTTCGAATGAAAGCCAGAATGTCGTCCGTTGAGGATCTCCTAATGTCAGAAGGAAAGAGCAGCCCTCCTCCCAGTGACTTCCTCCTTGCCCAGATCAAGGCTGGGCAGTCACAGAGAATGTGACTGGTAGTCTCGTCTGCTTCTAAGCAGAGTCGACACTCCGTCTCCTCGGACAGACCCATCTAATTAAGGTGATAACGCAGTCCATGGTGACCCGTTAAATATCTCACCAGCAATCTCAAGTCTGATCTGCTAAGGAGGGATGTCTTGCCATAACTATATGGATGAACCAGCTCTTTAGCCTGACGGTTACCTCGATTGTCGCGCCAGTAGTGACCTCTCTCGTCTAAGATCCATTTATCAATTAGATACCTAGTTGTAGACCAACTTTATCCACAATAGGGTTCCGGCCCACAGATTTGTGTGGCAGAACCTGCCCTTGCAAGACTGTCGGCAAATTCATTATCATAATGTTGATCATAGCTATATATAAATTAAAGAATATAGAGAAATAGGTTTAGAAAATTGTAAAGTTTATATAATAATTTAAAACGGTGCTCTTTATTTATTAGTTTTAGTAGTTGACTTTATTCATTAAGAAAGATCTAAGAATGGTTAAATCGGAGCAATGCAGGTATGAATCCCTTACATAAAATAATTGCTCTATTAAGGCAAGGCACTCTTGAAACGGTATTGTCTGATTTTCTTTTGCAGTACAGTTTTTAATTTACAACAGATAAAATATAAAATATAGATATAAAGTATTTTATATTAAAATTTAACATTATTAAAAATATTTTATTAAATAAATGCACACTATCATTCCTTATACTCGCACTTATGTTATTTTGATATAAAAGTTATGACCAGACTTTTTATACTTGGTTATATTTAATATAATAAATGGGCTACGGTTAAGTCGGTGGGTTACCATAGATTCATTCTATTTACTTAAACTTTCAACAAGAGTATCGATTATGAGGTAAAGAAACTAAAGTTGTTGTCAATTTTCTTTGATTAACCAACAGGTCAATAGTCAAAAATTTATTTAGTGGAGAAAATCTTTCTGAATCGATTATAATTTTGAATAGAATACAATGTCATGATGCATTGATAATAAATAACAAATAAATAATGTATACATATAGTGGACTTCAGTTTTTCAAGCGTCGCCCTCCTCCTGTTAACCAATGTTTCTTTTAAATTTTAACCCTTTTTGTCTTACTCAATTCAATTGGAATTGAAGTGGAAATTTTGCAAAAAATATTTTGATTTGTTATATTACTCTAGATAAAATAATTTATTTTTTTTTGTTTTTATTTACATCTTTGATTTTATATTTAAATTCGCATTCAACAAATTCTATTCTTCCAGCAATAACACATGGGCGAAATGGAGTATATAACTAAAAATTGATTAGACCGATAGGGAGTTCAATAAATTAATAACAAAGAGGAGCAACAATAAAATATGTCCGAAAAATAAGAACATATCAATAATTGTGATATCAGTTTAACAACTGTTTAACTGAAAAATTTAAATAATTTTAGCTAACCAATGGTTAACCAATAGCTTATAACAAAAGATATAAAATTGATTAAAAGACGTAAAAAAATAAGTTCAGATTTTTATTCAGTGAATATTGTAATAGATCTAATTAATTGATCTAATGTAGTGTAAAAAAGCCGACACTTAGTGCGATTAAGCATTTACACTGTTTGATATGTAGTTTTGACCACTAAGAGTTTACCATTAGAGATCAATTATGAAAGATCTGCGTATTTATCTTCTATAACTCTGGTTTTTAAGTTATGCGATTCAATACTTTGGTTTAATTTAATTTTATTGAATAGCTTCATTGCTTATTTCCTAATTTGAACTTAAACTATTTTTACAAATAAAACTATGTATATCTATATTTCTTGAGTACCAATATTATTCCATACTATACCATATTTTTCACTTTGCTATGTTATATATTTTAATTTTTATTAAAATTATATAAAAGAAGTAGTAGCAACATCAACATCTATTATATTCAATTATAATAATATGTCTTTTAAGTTATATAGTTATCGACATTATTTACCTATAGTACATATATTTACTACAATTCTTTGTATTAATGTATAAATTGTTTGGAATTATAATTACTAATTACACTAATTACTATTCATCTGCAATCACTAATTACTTATTTAAATTTTATTGACATTCATCTATAATTTTTTTGGATTTTTCGCTTTAATAAAAATCATATTATTCTAATAATTCTAATATAATTTTAGATGTATCCGGCAAGATACGCATTTGGGACACAGTAAATAAGGAGCACATTTTGAAAAGTGAATATCAACCAATTGGTGGTCCCATTAAGGATATTGCCTGGTCAGCAGACAATCAGCGCATTGTTGTCGTTGGTGAAGGTCGTGAACGTTTTGGACATGTTTTCATGACTGAAACTGGCACCTCTGTTGGTGAAATCAGTGGTCAATCAAAACCGCTTAATTCCTCAGATTTTCGTCCTACTAGGCCTTTTCGTATTGTAACTGGTAACTAAAAAACAATTACTTTTTAAATTCATTCAAGTTAAATCATTTTTGTCATTTCTATAAAGGTAGTGAAGATAATACCATCGGAGTATTCGAAGGTCCACCATTTAAATTTAAAATGACCAAGCAAGATCATTCACGTTTTGTACAAGCTGTACGTTATTCACCAGATGGTAAATATTTTGCTTCAGCTGGTTTTGACGGCAAAGTATTTCTTTATGATGGCACAACTGCAGACCTTATTGGTGAGATTGGTAACCCTGCACATAAGGGTGGTGTTTATGCTGTTGCATGGAAACCAGATAGTACACAATTGCTGACAAGTTCTGGTGACAAAACTTGCCGCTTGTGGAATGTAGAAACACGAGAGTTAATTACCGAATTTGTTATGGGCACTACTGTGGATGATCAACAAGTGTCATGTTTATGGCAAGGCAATAACTTACTTACAGTTTCTCTCTCTGGTAACATCAATTACTTAAACGTCGACGATCCATCGAAACCCTTACGAGTCGTTAAAGGTCACAATAAACCTATAACTGTGCTGGGATTAAGTGACGACCGTAGTACTATTTACACTGGAAGTCATGATGGTGTTGTGACTAATTGGAATTCTGGTAATGGTTCCAATGACCGTGTAGGTGGCACTGGACATGGTAATCAGGTATATATAAATGCAAAGTTTTTCGCTAAAATTTTATTTTACTATATGCTGTTTTTTATAATTTAGATGAATGGCATTGCTGCTTGGGGCGATTTTGTGTACACTTGTGGCATTGATGACAGTCTGCGCCAAATTAACATTGAAGCCAATACTTACACAGATTATGTTGTTAAGCTAAATTGTCAACCTCGCGGTTTAGCCATTTTCCGTAACGAGAATATAATTGCACTTGCTTGTGTGAAGGAGCTTACGCTAGTTCAAGATACCAAAAAAGTATTTTCATTGCCTATTAAGTATGAGGCTAGTTCAATAACTGCCAATAGCGACACACTTGATGTTGCCGTTGGTGGTGATGATCAGAAGCTACGCATATATTCTTTGAATGGCACCACACTTGATCCTAAAATTGAATTAGATCATTTAGGTGCTGTTACAGATTGCGCTTACTCACCAGATAATAAATATCTAGTGGCTTGCGATGCTCACCGAAAAGTCGTTTTATATTCAGTTGAAGAATATAAGGTAAGAAATAAATTGAAACAATTGCAAATTTAATATGATCATATATAAGTAAATAATTGGAAGTATACAAAAGATGAATCCATTATTTTAATTATATGTCTATGACTTATCTAATTATTAGATATATTATAATTACAATAAATTAAAAATCTGTTAATTTTATTGCAGCCTGCTCATAACAAGGAATGGGGCTTCCATAACGCACGTGTCAATACTGTGGCATGGTCACCAAATTCACTTTTAGTAGCTAGTGGCTCACTGGATACAACAATTATCATTTGGTCCGTTGCTAATCCTTCAAAGCATACTATCATTAAAAGTGAGTTATATATTTTAAGAAATATATATTTTTTTATTATATTGTTATTTTGTTTATTTTTAACAGACGCACATCCACAATCGCAAATCACTCGTTTAGTATGGTTGGATAACAATACAGTGATCTCAACTGGTCAAGATTGTAACACCAAAGTATGGGAGGTTGAAACTATTTAAACTTCTAAAAAATAAAAAAGCAAACTTAAGATACTGAGAAACTAAAATATTTATAAAGATAAAGCTATATTTTTTACAATAAATTTTATATCATCACAACGCTGCGTTTTGCCTATGGCCTGCTCCGTATTTGAACAATCTGCCAATAGTAATATATTTATATCATTTTATAGCATTTCTATATATTTTATATATTATAGTTAAAAAATTGAATTTTTTATTTTAGTATATGAAGTAATCATTTTTATGTTTTCAAAAAATAACCAATTGTACTTTAACTAAATTTTATTTGTAGTCCTGTATAACAATCAAATAAAAAAGTGTATTTATTAAATATTTTATGAATTCAATTTATTTGAAATATTTATAATCCCTTAAATTACAATGTATTATTAACATTTTTAGCTGTTTATATTATTTGCCTTCATTTTCTAAATTATTTTAAAAATAAATATAACTTTACAAAATATATGTTTTTTGTTACTATAAAATTTATTTAAAACGTTTATTAATTTTAGTATGTTTTACTTGATTATATTTAGTTAGATATTGTATATTAAAGGTATCAGGATAATATATATTTGATGCTACCGCATTTGATTGTAAGTATTACTTTACTGATCATTTGTTCAAAGCAGTCAAGTTGACACTAACTGGGACATAAAATCGAGTATAAAATTCAATATTTACAAGCATTCAATTAAGCAAATAAAAAATTTCAAACGGTCTTATACAAACGCATTTTCAAAAATAAATTTAAGTATATTAAGACGATTCTTAACAGTTTTCTTCGAGACAACTGTAATACAGCAGCAGGAAGTTCTTAAAACTTCCTTGTACAGTAGTTACACGACATGCGTAAACATATCAATAACCAATGTGAGCTCTAACTACAGTACCACTGTCCATGCGTCACCAGGTCGTTCTGCAGCCTCAATGCTAATTTATGATCTATACCTCCGACTCATTAAAGTGGCCGCCTTCTTTCACTTGTACCCAGGCTTGGGTCAATTAGCATCCACCCATAATTTCATCCTTCTCATATCCCAAACGATTTTTCTACTTTCCGCCTTACTTTCTAATACCCTAAAACATGTATCTGTATTGTAGTTATTATTAAATGTCGTATCTGTGTATTATAAAATCTAGAATATGTTCTAGAATATGTATTACAACTTTAGCAATACAATAAAGTGAAAAAAGTTGTTTAGAATTACTAATCAGGTACGCATATTTTAGATCATTCACTGAATAATCATGAAGCTTATAGGGAATACATAAATTAGTCAATAAGATGGGTGGGACCCTGTAGTACCCCCAGCTATCAAAGAGTAAAAGTGCTCAGTTGCGCTGACTCGAAAAAAGGATCAACATACATACATACTAATCAGATAAAAATCTTTAATCAAATTGCGGTTTCTTGTAAATCATTATTGCTCTATTACTACAAAATAAAGAAAAAAAAATAGCATACGTCTTGAGAATAAAAAAAAAACCGCCAAAGCACGGGTGTTTCCGAAATAATAATATGCAATACTAATATCCCATCGAATCTACATATTTTCATGGTACCACAGCGGATCATTATTTGTGGTCAAGTGGGCCTTGGTGTGCAAGACGGCCACCCCAACCTAGTCGTTAATATGAAAAATTAACATTGGAAGAATTGTATATATTAGTTTGATTTTTTATATTCGAAAATATGACGAATATAACATATTTGTTTGTAAATAATGGCATGTATATGTAAATTTTTTAATATTTTTTAAGCATATAATCCGGCATTATTTTATCCGTAAACAATAATTGTATACTTTCAGGGTATAAAAGAAATATCTTAGATAGAACGAGAATTTTGGTATTCCTAAAATTATCTGTGAAGAAAATATATCATTTACTTATATGCAGTTTAGATAAATACTTTATTACTCCGTAGGTAAATAACAAAATATATTACTTTTAGAGAATTGGTAAAAACATACTGTGTGGATAGAAAATAAAAACTTATAGATTAGTTTTTGTTTTAACTATTATATAGTTAATTATATACATATATTATTATATAGTATATATATATTATACATGTATATTATTATTATATAGTTACTATTATATAGTTAACTATTATATAATCTACATAAATATCGATGACGTTTCGAAAGCACAACTTCTAAGCCTGGCACTTGCAGTTCAACAACAACAAATTATATATGGACTTTAAACTAATCAAGAAATTTGAATATTTCCTAAGACCTCTGATGATAAGTACTTGGCAATACTCGAAACAGCGTTGTATGGTGTCAAATTTCAAAAAATTAAATAAATTTTTGTCCTTGTCTTTTCTTTGCTATTCCAATCCGTCTAACTTTTAAATAGTTTAACATTAAAATAAAAAAATTAAATATTTTCAATATATGATCATAATACAATAAAGATTATGCAATCAAGGTTGTACTAGTAACAGGTACAGGTACAGTAACAGGTGCTGATATTGTCACTCTCCTCTTTCCTGTCTGTCGTTCTATGTATGTTCTTTAGTATGTGGAGACTCTCTAAAGTTAATCTTTTGTTATAGTTTTTTCGCTATCTATTATTGTTACGTTATCTAGATCTGCTCTATCTTTGGTCTCTCCTGTGCTAATGCAGTATATTAATTTTATATCGAATAAAGGCCTTTAAAGTGGACAATTTAATCATCGACAATATTTTTATATCTTGTTCTGAATTAGCTAAAGCATTTTTATATTTTATATATATTTTTTATAATTTTAATAAATGATATGTGTAAAAAGAAATATTTGTTTCAGATTAAGTTTTTTTATATTTTTTTTATATGTAAGTTTTTATACACATTTATTTATTGTAACCTCTATTACAATGAAACTGTCAATAAGTTTTTAAGTCCTAACCCTTTCAATTTTATAATATAAAATAAAAGAAGTTATCCCTGCATTTTCCATTTTAGGCCTCATTTAAATCACTTGGGCTTATTTATATTGGAATAAAACATTTATGAAAGAAATGATTTGTAATTCCGTGAACAATAGATAATGTGTGTTCATCTGGTTGCTTAATTTTGAATATTGAAATACTAGATATAATGACAATGTTTCTAGCTAAAGATTTAACGTATTTCTTCAACCTTTTATTTTTTTCAAATTTTATCAAACTCAACTGTAACTTGAGGAATTTGTCAATTTCCATGGATAGTTTCATTTGTAGTGTACCATGGAGTACCAGTGATTGTTCTCAGTTCTTTTGACTACACTCTTTAGATAATTTCAACATTTAAGCTCTAGTATTAACAAATAGTTGGATACCGTAAGTCCTTATTGATTTAATAATAATGTTAACAGAAGTACTTGGTATTGTAAGTACCAGGCGTATTTACTCTTAATGAGTCGGTGTAACTTAGCGATCTAAAGTTTCATTCTCACATTTCTTTAGGTTTTTTTTACGTAATTTTACTTTATTACTTCAATAACTAAACTCCATAAAGATTACGATCCACGCTTCCGATTGTAAGTATTTTCTTTGTCAGTAACTAGAATGCTATATTAGCCAAATAGTCTCTAATTAGATACTGAATAATTAACCGCATAGATACTGAGTTATTATCACCTACTTTACTATTAAATGTGCACATTAATTGGCTGTTATATAGCAAAATTTTCGGGGAACTACAGCGATTTAAATTCATTAATTTTAATTCGCAGTTTTTACAACCATTTCTTCGCTATTTCCGCTTAAATTGATGTGTGATCGACAAATGTTGTAGTAACAACATAATCACTTCTCAGGATATCAGATATATAAAATACATAGAACAAAGATCCTAGCGGCTTTGTTACGGAACACCAACTGTTATTGAGATTTTTGAAGTTATAAATCATATTTTCTTGATTTTAAACGATCTGTTTTGTTGATGTGATCCTGTAAACAATCCTATAAACAATTGATTTATTTATTAGTTTAGGAAATGCTTATAAATGCAAAAAAAGTAGATTGGAATCCTCATTTTTTTTAAGTCTTGGGGAGTCGTCTATGCAGACAAGTGATTTCAAAATTTAAAGCCGTTTTTTTTTAATGTTAGATGGTAGGTTTCAGTTTCAAAGTCTTTTTTCCAAAAGACATGACTTCGTTAGGCGGATCTATTGTGATATTATAGATTTAAACCACGTGTTAATATCCATATTTATTCCTAAAAAACATAACAAACATTTCATATTGACCAGTTGCATTCAATACAATTTTTGATATGTTTTTACTCAATAATATATCAAACAAAAAAAATTTCGGCAATTTCATTACTGCTCGAAACAAATCTCTTTATGGAAAACAATAATTTATATTAAGAATTCTATAAGAATTTTGCTTTTGAAACGGGATAATTGGTTAATTGTTAAATAATATACTTTTTAAACAAAATTTAGCTTTTAAAAATATTTTTATTTAAACCACTGAACCCTATACCCTGTAGATGACTATAGAATATAGTCAAAATATTAGCTTAAATAAAAAATTTTTAAAAACTTAATTTGTTTATAATAATGTATTATATATTAATTGACTAATTGATCCGTTTCGAAAACGAAATTATTATTAAAAATTTTGGTCTATTAAAATACATCTCTACTTTTCATACATGTGCTATATTTAAGCATTAGTTTTTTCTGCATATGAAATATGAAAGCATAAAAGGAACAATGGCCAGATGTGAAGTTGTGATTGTGATTAATTTAATTTAATATTAATTTGTTGATTCGGACTCAAATACCTCGTCTACGTACGCGACCTCCAATCTGTTAGTATTCTACATAAAAGAATTGCAACCGCAATATCTCTCTCGTCGGCAGTTCTACGACATTTTATCGAAATTATGACTTAGCATTTAAAGTACAAACTCATATAACTTATTTAGTACTGATCGAAAATCGGTAAAAATTTTTAGATAGAATAAACAATTAATAGCTTTCTGATGGAATTTTTTACTTTTGGGATATCTGGGTGTCTGGGATATCCAAACAATATATTCGTATTTTTCCAAAATAATTTTTTTGAACATGAACCAATCAAAAGTATAGAAAAAAACAAAATGCCTTTATAAAAGTCACAAAATTATAAAATAATTTATAAAATATGTGATGTATTGATATATCAAATATTCAACAAATCGGTTCATATCCAATGAAGTAACATACTGTAAATTGTAACATACTCAACGCTTTTTACCCAAGCCTCTATATTAATTTTAAAATTTCCTGTAGTTCTATATATATTTGATTTTAATCGGATTCTGTCGCTGTGTGTCTTAATCAGATATAACCGTTTAATATTCCAGGAGCAGTTAATAATCACACATAAATAATGCCTCTACAAAAGAAAAGTGTTGAAATTTAAGAAATGGAATTAGAAAATTCGAATTTCGAACACACAAGTTAAGTACGGCTTTGGACGAGTTAACTAATAAACACTGACTCTGCGATTTAAACTTGGCAGGGTACGATTTTAGCCCTTAGTACTTACACTCCCAAAAATTATTTACTAATAACTAAATATAAAATGGTAAATGATGGTTATTTGGCAACCTGGAAACAACTGTATGATCAGCCAATAATTCAATAATTAAAAATAAATAAAAATGTTTGTTGTTGCTATTCAGTATGGTCAAAATGTCTCTATTAAATACGATAGTTTCTATTAAGTAAAATAGTTACTACCATCATAACTTACGCCCTGAAAAATCTTAAGCCCACCTCAGGACACACAGGAATATATGCTGATCTACGGTCAGTCATCAGTTAAAAGATAAATAAATGACGATAATTCTAGTATAGTTAGAGCTTAGTGTGGGGCAGGAATAAGCCCCCAGCCACAAAAGAGTAAAAGTGCGTAATAGCACTAACCCAAATCACAACAACAACAACAAATTAATTAATAAAAGTGTAAATAAAATATTTTACATATTTACATATAAATATATTTCATTTTTTTATTAATAAACTTTATGTAAAACTGTTTAACAATTTTTGTATTAACATTCTTAAAAACTAAGTGTCTTTTTGTGTATTTATTGGTGTATAAATGGCGTTGTGTAGAGTAATTAATATAATATAAATATATGAAATTTATAACATTACAAATATATGTAAAATATAAATTCTTTCAAAATATAAAATATATATAATTTTGAACTTAGTTTTAAATTATAACTTCTTCTAATTTAAATGAAAACCCATGCATATTTTTTGGTTTTAAAATTAAACAATATATAAAAAAAAATTTTTTTTTAATTATATCATTAAATATTTTAACATAAAAATATTCATTCTTAAATTAATAAGTTCTAATGCATAATTTGATTTTTACATTTATATAAAAATATTTTATTTTGAATAAAAGCCTCATAGTTTGTATTTAACTAATATGATTTTGCTTTAATTTTGTTTTAAAGTCGTCAATAAAGATTTAAAATATATTAAAAAAAAAATAAAAATATATAACTAAATTTATATTTAAAGGCTTAAAAACATTGTTTATAGAAATGATGTGCCTTATGAAAAAATAAAGATCTAAAAACATTTTTTTAAATAAAAAACTATTTTTATAATAATTTGTTATCGGGCTAATTGGTCAAATTTAAATAGAAATAAAAAAGACACTAATTTATTATTTATATTTAAAAATCATTTATACTTTATTAAAAATAATTCTTCCGATATTTCCACTATCTTCGATAGTCATCTTCAGGGATGTTCTTCAGGAAGAATTATTATTAATAAAGTATAAATGATTTAATGTCTTTTTAATTTCTATTTAAATTTGACCAATTAGCCCGATAACAAATTATTATAATAATAATTTTTTGGTCACAAATAAAAGTATTTAATATTTTATAAAAAACTATTTTATATTAATATGAATTTTTGTTTTAATTTAAAAAGTAAAGAGAAGTGGTTTGATATGGCATTAAATTTGTATAAAAATTTATTACTAATACGAAAACTAAACTAAAAGTAGAAAATGAGTCCAAATTGACTAAATATCACAGCCGGGAATTGTGTTGGGAAGAAGAGATTTACACTAAACTACAATAACAAAAATAAAAACAATTAAATCTAATAACAAATCCAAAAAAAAAATAATCAAATCTAAATAATAATATAAATAATTTTTTTTTATATAGCAGGACTAGAAGGATTAGGTGCAGTTCCATTATTTGCATTGCCTTGTGTGTTCGGATTTTGTTCCGATTTTATATTAAGGACATTAGCGATCTGAAATGAAGACGAACTGGCGTCCGTAGCCATTGCCGCATTAGGCGTTGTTGTCATTTGTGCTGTTGCTGATGTTACTGAAGTCATTCCGAAATCCATTGGAGCTACAATTGCTGAACTCGTGGTCGCTGTTATACCGGGAGTGGTGGCTTTAATAGACACAATATCGGAATTTTCTATTGGGATTTTTAAATTTTGTTGTTGTTGTTGTTGTTGTTGTGCAGCTGCAGCCGCTACAGCTGCTAAGTGAAACTGATTTGGCAGAAACATATAAGCGGAGCTAAGCTGTGCAGCTGCAGCTAGTTGAGCGTCATTGTTCAATTCACTGGAAACCTGTTGAAACGTTGCATTATTGGTGGACGTATTGCTTGAACTGGTAGATGTTGTGTTGGTTCCGGTGCCACTTGTTGTAACTGGTATTGGTGACGGTGTAGGAGATGTGGTGTTAAGAAGTTTCGTTGCTCGCTTTCTGCGTGCTTCTGTTTCACATGGCGATGGTGCACCTGGGTGACGATAGGACACATGCTTGCGCAATGCATCTTTACTGCGGGAGACATGCGAGCAGACATTGCAGGCATATCTGTCATAATAAAAATAAAGTAAATTTTAATATAAAAGGATGACATCCAAATTGTATCAGTGTATTATATAGAATTATATAGAATACCTATAATTGAGTTTTGGTATTTTAAAAATAAATGATAAGCATAGCTCTTAGTTTAATCTCAGTTTTTTAAAGTTAATGTGTGTGTACTAATTAAAACAAATATGGAAAGACTACATACCTTACGTTCTGATGTGTCTCCAAATGCACACGCAGATTGTATTGGTTGCTCAGCTGTTTGTGACATATGAAACACGTGGCATACAGCTTCGAATTGGATTGTGATTTGGCTTGTGGACTACTTGGTGTCGTGGGTGCCGTCAGTTTTTCCGGAAATGACGGGTTCGGACTTGTATCGGGCTTGGAACTAGTTGCCTCCGGTGTTTTATTGGTGTTAGGTGTATCGTTTCGGTTGCAGGTGCCGAATTGATCCAATTGAGGATGCAACTTCATATGATTATCTGCCAATGCAGCATACGCTGTGGACTGTGCAAATGTTGGCGGCTGTTGTAATTGGTGCTGTGGTGCTACCATGGCGCCATAAATAGAAGATTTGTTGTTTGAATGTGGTGAATGTACAGGAGTTGTATCAAAATGGCTAGTTGTTGTTGTTTTTATAGACAGTTGCGGTAAGTTATGTGGTAAGTGTGGTTGTGTACTTAAGGAAGTTGTGAGTGCGGTACTATCATTTATTGGCGTCTTGCTACGTAAGTTTTCCACTATTTTGTCAATGCGTTTAATGTCTTTCTGTTGCTGGTCTGTATAGTTCTGGACATGTGGCAAAATTGATTTTTTTTCTCCACTGTAAATTCGTTTGATACCGAAAGTATCTTCGTTTATTGATTTCGTTTGATCATCACAAATGAAATTGGATAAGATATCTTTGGAAGGCATACCCAGGGCGTTTTGATACAGACCGCACTGTTGTTGATATTTTGCAAGCAATTCTGTTGTTTTATTCAAAGCGTTTTGTGAGAAATTTAATGGTTGCGTCAATAAATTTGGGTAAAATTGTAAAGATTTCAAAAAGAAACTCTCCAATGGAGTAGGTATTTTGTTTGTTAACAGTGGTGTGGCAAGTGTGTGTGAGGAAGGTGTAGGTGCTAATGGTATTTGCGTTGTAGAGCAGTTGCTTGAAATTGGCGGCGTGGGTGGAGTTAATGGAGATTCACATTGTTCTTCTTTTCGTAAAAGGTCGGCGTAGTCTGTTTGACGTTTCGACGACTTCTGCAACTTTTATGTTTTTTTGGGATTTATTTACATAATTATTTTCATAGTGTGTGTATTAGGGTATTGCTTTTAGCAGACTTACATTGTTTTGCACGTCGGCTAATCCTTTTATTCCTAATGTTTCAGCCAAATTTAGTAATATTGGTATTTGCTCTTCATATACATTCACTTCACCAGAATACATGAAAGTTAATAATGCCACAATGGCCGCAAATGTTGCGCCAGGAATTATTATGACAGGATGATTTGTTGTGTCAAGTGTACGAAATAATTCCAGAAAAAAAGTGCTGCACGCACTCAGCACCACACGATGTGCCCGCAGTGAGCGACCTTCTGCTGATATTGTGACGTCTGTGAGATGAGATTGATCCAGTAAAATTGGCAATGTGCTTAATAAACTTGTCTAAAAATGAAAAAAAAAAATTATTTCAAATGATCTCGTTCGATGTACATATTTTAAATTTATTTTTTTTTTCTTATTCAAGATTGTTTTTTCTATTCAGAAAATCATTACTTGTGGCAGAATTGAAAGATATTCATATACTATAATTTTGTTGAAATTTCTTGCGCAAAATTTAAAATTTTGAAGAAGTTACAAAATCATTTAAATTCAAGAATCATATCGTATTCTAAGATGAAGAAAAAATTAGAATTTTAAATATTAGAGAATACACTTAATAAGTATTTCTTTTAGACTGTAATTTGACTAGGATATCTTTCAAACTTCTATTATAATATAAATCAAATATCAAATCAAATCAAATATCAGTAAATTTTTCATCTCTGAATAATTTCAATATTTGAAGCACTAGCATTGCCAAATACCTGGATACCATAAATCCATATTGGTTTTATGATGCTGTTATACAAGAGTACTTTATACTCTAGGCATAGGGAAAATCTGGGAAACAGATTTATTGAATAAGCTTAATTTTTTAAGCATATGTAACATGTATGTATTATACATATAATATTTATTTCCTCAATCGTGTCGAAAAGGGGTCGCCGTAGTGATCTCTTAAACTTCTGGAATAGCCAGGTTGCTATTCACAACATGCTATTTAGCAGAAGGTGCTAAATCTGACGATTACAAAGGTCGTTCAACAATATCAGTGGAATATGATAATGGATTATGAAACAGATTATTAAATATATACTATAAAGATAGAAGTCTACACATTGTAAAATTATTATTTATATGTAAATTTTGTTTTGCTTAGTGAAAAATATATATACAATAATAATCAGTAAGAAGGAAGAGCGACAAATGCCTCAGCTCAACATAATAAAATTAAATGTTTCATATATAATAGAAATATATATAACCTACACAAGTGATTGGAAACTTAATACAGATGTGGGTATCAATAAATTCGTCCCGTTTGTAACAATTGTCTATTATTTTTAGCTACAAGAGCTATCGCTGAGGATATACTCTCCAACTCTGGGATTTACTTTTTCAGTTCGTTTATGCATAATCTGATATAAAATAAGAATTCGAGCGATTGTATTGTTAAAATTCTAGCTAAACGATTTATTTAAATTAATGCTTAATTATGTAAATAATTTTTAATTAAATGTAAATTAAAATATATTTTATTAAACAAAGGTAATAGCCTACATAATTTAAAATTACATAAAAATGTTGTTTTTCTGTAGCAGAGAATTCTGATTTGTAATGAACGACTTCCTCCAAATTTTAAAATAAATTTTCTCACTTTGTGTGACATATTTTCCTTTTGGTTTTAGCGCATTTGAAAATTTTAAATATCACTACCGAAGTGAAAGACACATAAATTTACCTTATATATGCCAATTAAAATAAATGAAATAAATAAATGAAATAGCAATTAAGAATGCACGGGCCCGGAAGACATATGGACAACAACGGCCAGACATGCATAATCACATAAATTGCAAGAAATAAAATAACAAGAACCGAATCGCTATGTACTCCGTCATTTTGTTAGATGCCTTAAATCTGAATTTTCGAATACATTTGATAGAAATTCCTTGGATTTTGGCAATTGTACGAAAATTTCATTTATTTTGTCTTGGTCCATAGAAACCCAGCGTAGATGTTTGCTTCTTTTTAAAAATAAAACCTTCTCCGATAGGCAGGCAATTTTCTTAGCAAATGCGAAACGTAAGAACTTATAAAATGTATTTTTATATAGCATATGACATTTTCAAATACATATACACTAACAAACACACCATGTCCAGTAAGCGCAGCAAGTACCAGGCCAGTCAGACTACCAATCGACAGAGCACTTAAGAAACAAAAAATACGTAAGCGATGGAGAAATTTCGAAAGAATATTTTGGCATGAAATTATTAAGTGTAAAGACACGACAAGACAAACAAACAACCTCACACATTTCTCATCTGAATTTCGGATGAATGTCTCTATTTAGATGAGTGCTTTGAAATATTTTGTGGAAACGTTTTCTTCGGTGTTCCTACACATGCACGAGCTTTTGACAAACATTAATGGAAAACAAATTATTAGAATTTATCTGCAATTTTAGCTTCTATGACTAATGGATATATTAACAAGTCTTGAACAAGGAAATGATTTAATAAAGACATATAAGTATGTAAGTCAAAACAAAAAAATAATTATTCAGCTTTTAAACTGAATTGAGTTGCAGGCCATATGCTCTCCAGAAGGAGTTCAGGAAATCAGTAGTAGCAAACTGAATTAAAAATTATTTTTTTATTATCAATGTAGTCAATAAATATATCAATGATATTTAGAGCATATGCAGGAAGAACTAAGTTTTTACTATCCAATTACACTAGTTTACAAATAATTAAAATTTTTTTTCCAGAGACGAGATCCCTATTTTCTGCAGTGAAGTTTTCCGTAGAAATTTCCCGAAAATCACAATGATTTGGTGGAATTTAAAAAATTGAATATAGTTTTCAAAATTTTGATTCGAAAACTTAGCCATCCAAAAGGTTTTATGAAAACAGTCTTCAACATCAAATAAAAAATAATTTCTTTAAGTATTTTACGGGCAGCCCATCACAATGAAAAGTGTTTAATCTGCACATTTTTAACTATAGCAACTAAACTTATTAAGAGACCTTAATGGTAAGTGCCCTTAAAATATTCCTACTATTTTCCACTTTTATCGAATATTTAATATTAGTATTAAAACATATTACAACATATAATATTGTGTAGTAACTTCCTAAAAAAAATATGTTATTATGTTTCGAGAAAAACCAAAATAAAAGTCTTTCGGAAATAACTGGAAAACGGCATAAAAGCAAACATACACATTACGATGATCGAATGTTACGAAAAATTTCACTATCGAAAATATAGATAGCATATTTAAGAATTTTTACCTGTAAATTAATTTTATCAAATAAAGATTTGATCGTTCGTAAAGCTACAGATTCTCACAATTTATGGTCCATTTTTGAGCTCAACTAAGCTTTGATGTAAACGGCCACCACTCCTTTCTAAATTAACCTAGTGTACATCGCAAGTTTAAAGTAGAAAAAAAATTATAGATAAAAAAATTACTGTTCTGTGTATTGTTTATCCATTAATTAAAAAAGGAAGATCTTATCAGAAGTAAGTTTTTTATTTAAAATATTCATTTCATATATCTCCTGCCACAATATCATAAATATGAGTATAAAGTTTATGGGTGTATATACCATATAGTGTCGTTCTGAACTGTATTATAAGTTTAGAACTGGTGGGAATATAGCGTACATATTTTATGAAAGCAGTTGAGTTTCAATTCTTAGGAAAAAATTTGTCTGTGAAAGAAGTCAAATGCTATCGATGTTGCTCTATTTCGCTTTTTTGGGACCTCTAAATACTTCCTCAATTTGGATAAATTTTTCGTACCTTGCACCAGAGGATGTTGTAATGAAAACAGTAGAAATTTAAAGCTCAAATCTAACGAAATGTGGACAGCAATGAAAGACAAAAGGTGAGCAGCCAGTATTAAAACTAACCATGTAGTGTAGTTGAATATTCTTTTAAATCTATTTTAAAGACTTTAAAAGACTCTCCATCTGATAAAATACAGTCATGTCAACTTTTCTTTTAATTATGAAAGACTCAAGTTTTTTACTTGAGTTTTAAAAAGGCCTTTAAAATGCGCAACGTTTTACATTTTATTTCTTCAATCGTTTCGAAATTGTGTCCGTGGAGCAGTTTGTATAACTAACTTATAATCTTTTGATATTACTAAAGTCTAGTCAGGCTGAGTTAAGGAATAGCTAGAAGTCACACAGTGCTAAATCAATCAAATACGCTGGTTTTGGCACGATATGAGTTGCATTTTTAGCGAAATAGTCTCCAAGAACCAATCAAAGTTTAATGGTGCTATGATACAAAAACCACGCACTATCTGCCCATAATTCTAACCTTTTTCATGTAAACCTTGCATAATTCTGAAATAATATTGCTAGCTAACAATTGGTACCGGCGGACACAGCTCACAATTAACTACACCACGATAGTCGAAGAAAATTAATAAAAAGGTCTTGATTTCTGAACGAGTTTCAATGCAGTCTTTTCAGTCTTGGCCTTTCCAACAATAGGCATAGTTTGGCCGGGCTAACACGGTCAATAGTAGTTCTCTGGTGATGTTTTAGGATCGTGGCTTAAAAGATAATGCGAATGTCTACTCCGAAAGTATTTTCAGGACATAATCAAATAAACTACATGTGATATTCTGTACAACAAATTATTAGAAAATTAATAAGTTAAACCTATTAACCAAAATTTTCAAGGTTATAAAAACAACACATTTAAGCTAAAATACTAGACTAACATACCTACATGCATGCATATGTCGGAGACACTGAATCTTTTATCACGCAAGAGAAACCATGTGATGCGATCTTCGATTAAATCAGCAATTTGTGAATCGATATATTGTTTATAAAAAAATTTTATATAAAATTAATTAGTGGATTTGCTTTCTTATAATATGTTAAAAGAGCTAAAAGAGCAAGTAGCACTACAAGTTCCTTAAAGGTTGTTTAATTATTCAGATGTTTAAATCTGACTCATATAAGCAATCAGAATAAGACACGTATATTGTACAAAAAAAAGGATTGATTTAAAACAATAAGAATATAGCTTAAAAATAGTTATTATGTTTATCTGCCAAGAAAAATGTTCATATGTAATGTTATTTTCTTTGAAATAGTTTTACTCTAAAGTTGAAACATGGTTGAGCGTACTTGAAATAATCCTGATATACTATAAGAAAAAGGTATTGAACAGGTATTGGATTCTTTACTGATAGACAGGCAACTATCTAGGCCCTATTCTTCTATAATTATATGAGTTGTACTTTAAATATTTATATTTTTATAATATATGTAATATATGATACACTCATTTTTTAAAACACAAATGAAGTGAGAAACAAGATTAAACAAATCTTTCCATCCATAACTCCTTGAGCTTGAAACTTATTTAATTTGAATTGAGTCGAATTCAGCCAATAGGTAAACATGCAATAAAACTTGAAAGTCCAATTGGAAATCTCTGACACTACGGTAAAGAGGAAGTAAAGACTTATCTAGCTTTCATATATTACGCAGATATTCCGTATTCGCAAGAATTAAATTCATAAAAAACTATTTTCTTAAGGAAATTTATGAGCAAAAACTCAACAAGAGCCCAATGAGAACGCAACAGATCGATATACGATCTATTTAGGAGTCTGTCGTTGGCTCACCCTTTGAAATATTTTGAACTAAGAACTTTTGGAGTTTTTACTTATAATATTCAGCACATAGCAGTTGGCATATTGGCTAGCAATGATTTATTATAATATATAGAAGTAAGAAATATGTATTAACACAACATATAACTTTACATTTGTTTTTATGTCCTATTCATACGGTTGAAAAAATTATGGATTTATTCTTGATTTGAACTTGCTTGAGGCTTGTTTGACTCCCTTTGTTGCAATATCAAATTGGAATCACAATTTGATTCCATACAAAAATTCGACATCCTACAACTTCCAACCTAAGGAGTCAACTTCTTCTACTTATTTTTTTATTTTGATATTTTCAACATATTTTTTTTATGTAATTCTTAATTATTAATATTAATTTTTTAATACTTTTAATTATGATCATAAAGGATTTACCACTATTACGTTTTACTTAGACATTTCCAGTGTTGTTATGAAACACACAGATTTAATATATATGTATATTTGATTTTCTTTCTCGAGTATTGTAAAATCATTCTAATATCAATTTAATTGGAGCTGGTGGGGAATAGTTCCCTAAGCACATTGATACGTGATTTGCAGTACGAGGAACTTCTTATTGAAAATGTATCGGAGCGTATATCGTGTCTTCAAAACAAGAAATGGTGTTGGATATACTAGTCATTCTAAATAAATTGGGTGTAAAGACTAGTTGAAAAGAACTAAGACGCAGGAAAAACTGTGACGAAGGGGATAAATTCAACAAGAAAAACTCTAATGGAAAAATCGAAGAACTCATATCAAAAAAAGATATATAAAAATTCTTTTGAACGTTTGAACAAAAATTACATTACAGTCAAACTTCCATAACTCAAAGTACCATTTTGCAAAGAAAAGGTTCGAATGAAGAAGTCTTCGAGTTAGAGAATTGTTTTGTATATTTTTAATTTTTGAAAGAAACTAGAATCACATTTTAAGATATTTATTTATTTATTTGAAATCAAATACGCTACAAGTTATAAGAAAGTAAAATATTTAGAAATGATTTTAATTTTTTTTATTTTGAGTAAAAAGAGAATCCAATTTATTTCAAGCCTTACAGTGATCATCAGTTGTAGTATTATTCGTTTTCAAATAAAATTTCAGAATTTTAAATGAGTCTTCTACTTCATTATTTTTAGGCTGATGAATAATTTCAATCACTGAACCTTCATCATAACTTTCTGTTGTGATTAGAATCGGATCCACTCATTTAGAGCTATAATGCTCAATAATATCGACATCAGTAGGAAAGCTTGATGTACAAATTTCATTGTCAAGCTCAATATAATCGTTAAGAACATTGGAAGTTATTATATTTACTTTAAACCACGCTTAATAATTCTGTTCCATCAATTCACGGTCTTCATTAATGTTATTCAAGAAAACTAAAAGAATGTCATCCTGTTTGTCCCATATAAAAAATTAGCCATATCCAGCCTTTTTGAAATAGTGCGCTATCGTTTGAATAGTTACATCAATATCTCAAGCTTTTGTTACATGATTTATGTAATCCATAAATGTAATATCCTGCTTTTTGGTTGCTTCTATAGGCTTAAGTGCTTCTTTTACGATTCTGTTGCGGTAATTACACTTTAAATTCAAACTTCCTGATCAAGTGGTTGCAATTTAGAGATTATATTCAGCGGAACATGACATTTGGCATTTGCACCAAGAACTATCATTAGAAGGAAGAAACTGAAACAATTGGTTTGGGAAAAGGGAATGCCCCTAACACCAAAATTGATTCATACTTAAAATAAAAATATGACTTACAGAACACAATTTCCCATATTCTTATTGACACGTGATAATATTTGTATTCGAGTTATAGAGAAATTCGAGTTATATGGTAGAAGTTCGAAAGTTTGACTGCATTTTCAAAAAAAATTAAATCAAAGTTGAGAAATATTAAAATATTTTTTTTAAATAAAATGAGTCATATGAATTGTATTAAAAATGAATTTTTAGTGTATTTTTATATTGACTTGAAAGTGGAAACTTTATGAATGTGGCAGAGCTTCGTAATTGGTGAAAATAATAAGTCATAAATATATTATATATTTATATATTTTTTAGTACGGATATAGGTCTCTTTCTGTTAAATAATTTAACGTTTAATATTTTTTATTATATTTTATATTTCGACTGCAATATAGACGATAGAATAAAGAGGATGAAGTAGGTGTAGTTTCAGTAATATTAATTTATGTTACATTGTGATCCTTATGATGACTCTCAAGGAGCGTCGAAATATAGAATATAATAAACGTTAAATTATTTAACAAAAAGTGACCTATAGCCGGATTAAAAAATATATAAAAACAGGTCGATAAATAACTTCAAAAAAATTTATATATTTATTTTTTCGAAAGTACATTTTAATATTTTTTAAAATGTATAAAAAAACCAACAGATTTTCATATTTATAATGAAAAGAGTAATAGATATATTATTTGTTACAAAATAATATTAAATAAATAAGTTTTGGTTCATATAATTACTTATAAAATTATTTGTGTCCTCTTACCTGATGATTATGCCATCTGAGGCAAAATTGCTGTTGATGTTCATGTTGTTGCTGCTGCTCTTGAAGATGTTGTTGCAATTGTTGATGTTGCTGAAGCTGGCGTATTGTTGTTGATGTATTAATATGTTCCATAATTAATTAAATTTTAACAAAATTACACGAAATGCAGTTTCTTTCGCAATTAAATAATTTTCTGTTTATTGAAATAAAAATTATATTCCTTCAAAAGACAACATACAATAAATAAACACATTAATTTTGTTTTTATTATTCACAAAATATAGTTTTTACAATTATTTTTCATTCTCACTTAATTTGTTTTGATTTATTTGCTTCTTCAACATGAAGCCGCGTGTACAACAAATACAAATCAACAGTTTTTCACAGTTTATTTTCCTTTGCATGCACGAAAAATCAAAACAAAAACAAAAACGAATAAGTAATTTTGCATATTCCGCCGCCTTCAGACAGCACACTTTTCTGTTTTGTTTTTGTGTTTATTTGCTTTTTGTTTTCATTTTGGGGACACTTGTTCTGTCAATGCAGCTTCGCATTCATTTCTACACAATTCGGGTAATGTTAATGTGCGATGGAACTAAGAAGCAAAGCAAAAACGAATAGATAAAAGAGCGAAAAAGCGAAAGAGGAGGTTGTTTAAAATGATCACGAAGGAGGTTTGTTTTTATAATTTCGTATTACATGATGCGGAGTAATTTAAATTACATGATAAAATATATACTCTTTGCCTGAATGATTTTATTTTGTTATGTAGTTAATAAAAATTGATCTTTAGATAAAGTTACTCTAAACGATAACATAATCTGTTTTAGAGCTTATTTTCCTATTGTTGTGCATTTATTATTAATATTTATTTTTACTTATTCTTACAATCTCTATAAATTTGAAAAAAAATAAAAATTTCTAACTTAGACAGCAAAGAAATAATTTCTACTAAATTAGTTTATTATAAGGCGCGAAGCATATTTGTTGTGATAAATAAATCACTGAAATTTTAAAAATGAATTTACTTGATTCATGCATTTTGTTGTTTTTGTATTTTCTCTTATATTTTTGTTGAAAGTGCTGTTAGATAGCACTTTTTATTTTGCTTGTTTACCTAAAAGTTAAGGTTCTGGGTTAAGGAGTTTGTTTTGTAATTAATATTATTTTAATTTAGTGTATGACAGTTCATACAACACAACTGATATGTATGAAGGTTCACATATAATATAACATTTACAATATATGACTTAACGGCTTTAGTAAATAATATTGAGGATATTGTTGATGAAAGGAAAATGAGTATATTTTATTTGTACACCTATATATTAAAATTAATTTAAAATGTGACTATTATTTGATGCTGTAAAAAATATTTATTATTTTCATTTTTACTAGCACATATTATTGTGTTCACACATAAATATTAAATAACAAATGATTACATCGAAACAAACTATAGAACAATTAGAACAATTTCCTTAATTTCGTAAAAATGAAATTAAGTTAATTTCAAAAGTGTTCATACTGCCCCAAATTAAGGAAAACATATGTTTTTTGTCTACATATCGAATGTTAAAAATTACATGCTCCAAACACAATTCGTATCTGGGAAATTTGAAAAGTTGATTGTTATAACTATAAATTATTATAGCAATTAGCTTTAGTGAATTTCAAGTATGTGAATTATTATTTTTCATTCTATTTTAATTTAATAACTGTTACAGTTTTTTCTCTATATTCAAATTTAAAAATTTGCACTACTCTCAAAATATTTTCACGGTTTTATTAAAGTCAACTGTCACTGACATTTTTTGAAAACAAAATGTCACTTTCATTATCTCAACTTTATCTCTTGCTTAAAATTTATCTTACGCATAGCTGCATTTAAAATGTCCCTTAATTTCAGCCTTTGTTTCAAATTAAATGGAAATTAAGGCCATTCTCCTTAATTTTGTTCTAACCTTAATCTAACTGAATTTTGTATGGAAAAAAACAACTTAATTTCGCTGAAACGAAGATGATATTAAGATATTTGCGAAATTAAGTTGTGTCTGAACATAGTATAACACTAACTTGTAAGAACTATTTTGATATCACTATATCTCATCTCCTCTCAGATAGATTGACTTATTATAGTAATGTAATAAACTATTTTCACTTATTGGTTAGACTTAGATATTTTTATTAAATGCATTTGTTACATGTTTTTATATACATTCTATATATTTTATATATTATAACACAATATATTAGATTGAAATCTCTAATAACATTAGTCAAAAAATATAAATTATCTACTTCATACTTTAAGTTTTAAATTCAAATATAATTTTATTTATACGTTCCTTCAAAATAGTTTATAGAACAGTGCTTCGCGTTGTATGAGTAATTTTAATTTGGAATTAACTTTGTTGAACACACTACTATATAATTTCGTTTTAAGATATAAATTTAAATATATATGTACGTATATATATATATATTTAAATTTATTTTTATGAAATATAATTAATATATACAATATTGCTTGCTTATTTCGCACTGGTAAATTATGCATGTCTACACTATTGTCTATAGTATTGTCTACACTATTGTCTATTGTCTATTTTGCATTATTATTGGTGGTGGTGTAAGTTCCAAGTTTTATATTAAGAAAATACTATAAATCTGTTGCCCAAAACCCCAGTGACAACCTGAAATAAATAAGTTTTATCTAACGATCACTGGGCAAGTGTTTTGTCTCTGTTGGCAATTAAATTAATTTATTTATTCACTTTATATTCATATAATATACGATTACATTGAAATTTTGCAAAATAAATGACAGAAATTAGAAAAAAAATTTAAATAAAATGCAAAACCATTTTTAAATTCCATTTCGATTGTCGTTAAAGTACCGCCTCATACAACTGCTAATACAATGCAGTACATCTACAGGCAAATGGGTCAACAATGTACCTATTGTACGGACACATCAGCGGACACATGCATATAAGTATGTACATATATACTTATGGTATGTGTGTAAAGATTTTCCGCGAGAAATTGTTTATTTTTTATTTAAATTTTATTTTCAAACTATTTTAAAATCAAAACTTATGCATTTATCCACTAACTTATTGTCAATGCATAAATAGTGTTTTTTGTTGCTTTAATTGCAATGGCAGAAACACTAAATTCATCAGTGCAATTCTTGTCCGAGGGCTATTTTTACCGCTTGAATTAAATTCTTTTTTTTTTGTGTGTTTGATGGTACGGGATATATCCATACACACAGTCACATTCTCTACAATAAGTTTTATGCCAAATAGAATATTTCTAATTTATTTGGAGACAAAATAAAATCACACATACTCGCTCAATTAAAGACTCAAAATTAAAGATTTTTTTATTTGTTTTTTAGGATTTATATGTAATAGTCCCAAATTCAATTCGGAATAAACTTTAAAAAACTCCGAAAATGTTTATTTTACCTACAGATACATTAAATATAGTTAGAAAATTGCAATATTTTATTTTTATTAATAAACGACTCAATATATACATATATATTAAACAATTGATAATAAACGAATGCAAATTAATAATTTAATAGCTTTTAGAAAGTGTTCATGATAATAAGTATTTTATATATTAAAAATAAACAGCATGTTTTAATTTTTTAAATTATTTAAATTATTATCTAGTGCATTTTAAAAATTATACTATTACTTATATTTGGTATTTCTATAGCAAATTAAAATTGCGAACCAATACCTCTGTATTTTTCTTTACGAAGATAAATATCCTTTATGCATTATCCCTTAGAGGTAATAAACAAACATTGTCATATACACATTAACATTGCTAAACTGATTACAATTAATTATTTATATTAGAAATCTCATGTTTGGGAGATGAATATATATTTTACTATATATCCAAATGATACTTGACGTAAACATAATGGTGCTAATTAGTTGATACGTCAACCTCATCCAGTTTTAACCTCTTGTTTGAAACTATCTTCCTACTCTTTGCAGTTTCAATGAATTTTCTATTCATCAAAAGAATCCAGAACTCAGGAAATTCATTATTCAATTTAAAATTCTTTAACGAACTTAGAATGCAGAATGGTCAGACAAACCAGAATGGTTAATCAGATCATATAAATCTTCTTCTTTCACACAAGTTTCATGCAGTAGTTTTCGCAGTAGTTATTTTCCGTTGTATATAAGCAAGTATTAATAAAAGCAAATATTAAGTTAACTGAAGATTAAATTTAGTAATTTTAGTTTGATTTTATATATTAGAGTTTTTAAAAAAATATAGTCGTGGAGTCCAGCAATCGCCTTCTATGTCTTTGCCACTACACACGAAACAAATGCAATGATTAGAAGACCGTTGCTTCAGATGTAATAAAAGTAAACTTTTCGGATTTATTCCAATATTAGATCAATGATAATTCATGTTCAAACAGCAAATTCTATTTTATTAAATATAAATGGCAAAATATTTGTTTATAATGAAATCTTTAATTACAATTTTACAAAAATTTTGTCATTATTAAAACTAATCAAATATATATTTATTGTGATATAAAGAAATTATATGTAAAATTATAGAAAATATTTTGCTCAATTGGATTAATAAAATTATTAACACTTCCTACCTCAACTATTCCACTATATTAGTATTTAATATTGTTTCCATTTATATTTAAAAAAGAAAGAAAAGAAATTTTCGTTTTACCAGTGACGTCCGAGGGTCAACATAAATTTATGTTTATATGTACATATTATTTTCTAACATACTAAAAAATAGAATTATCAATCTGATAAGAACGAAAATATTCTTTCAACACAAATGAGGGTCACAACAATAACCCTATATGCAGCTTAAAGGCTCAGTTAGACGGTTGGTAACGTAAGAAATTAATTCAAAGCGAAATGCACAACCAAACAAACGTGTGTGTTTGATAGAAACGAAACAAACAAAGTACACCATTTTAATTTATTTCGTTCCTATCAAATACGCAGGTTTGGTTGGTTGTGCATTTCGCGTGGAATTCATTTCTTACGTTACCTACCGTCTAACTAAGCCTTAAGGTTTCTTTATAACTATCTCAGTTGTTTCTCTTGCGTGAAATAGGTCGTAACTCGTTATACGATTTACGAATTACAAATATTTCTTCTCCAATAATATTAAGATTATTGATATCGAAACAGATATGAACAATAAATTTGTCTTAAATATGACATGTAATTCTATTAAATATAGTTGTTTTATCAATTAAATGTCAAATATAAATTACTAAAATCTGTGTGGAATAATATGTCTTTAAGATTTATTGATAATGTAATGTTTGCGGGTGAGTTAATTTTATTCAATTAGAGTTAAGAGAGTAGTAATGTTAATTTAACACAATTTCAGCCTCTTTTATGTTAAATAAGTTATATGTTTTAAAGTTTGTTCGTTTAAACGTTTAAAGTCAATACTTAATTTCATTACTATCAAATATACTTATGGCTAAAAAATATATATAGATAATGAAATACTTCACCATACAAATATTTTTTGTATTAAAACTTATTTAATACTTAATAATATATTTGATGCAGAATGTATTTTATAATTTTGTTTTTATAATGGGCTAATTAGTGCCCAATTAGTGAGATTTTATTAAAAAATGTAATTATGATACATATATTATTATATTATAATTATGAATATGATTACGAATATGATTATAACGATATCAAAGTATGTTACATAAAAGCAATTTACTTAATATTTAAAATAAAAAAATTATATATATTTTTGTTTTAAATAAAATGCAGTTATAACATATAAAAAAAAAATTATTTTGCTTTAAGTATGAATTTTAATTTAAAAAACTGAAATTGAACTCATTGAATATAACTGTTGTTTTTATTTTTTATTTATAATTAAATTTAAATTTGAATTGTTTTTAAATAAAAAAACCAATACAAAAACATATGAATAATTATTTTAATCTCATGTTGAGGTTTTTCCGAGTTAGTGCAACTGGGGACTTTTATACTTTCTTAGATGTAAGATTTCTACATTTTCCCTCCCTTCACTTTAATTAATTCATGTATTCCTCACAAGGTGCGCTAATTATCCTTTAAACTAAACTTACTAAATACTCCATAAATACTCCAGTTTAGATCTTTATTAAAGTTTATTGAGATTATATGGAAACTTGATTTTGTTTGATATCAGGCACAAATCTATTAATTATTATCAACTTTACAAATAAAAAGTATGTTATATAAGGGAGTTATGATATAATGAGAAACTCTCACACTTAAGTACCACTTAACAATTTTTTGTTTAATTATTTTTTGACATTTAATTAAAAAATTAATTAGTTTTAATTATAACTTATTTAGTTTTTTGTAAATAAAAGTAAAAGCACATTTGAATTTTTGTTTCTTCGTTACAGACAATATTCAATTCTATTAAAAATAATATATAATTTATTTTTGTAAAATGAACTGCAACTGCAAAGAACAAGTTTTTTTGTTTTTTGTATTTTATTTTAATTTTTATTTTTTTTACGCAGCTGTCATTAAAATATAATCCAGCCCAGTCGTCGAGGCTATTAATAGTGAAAACCGCAGTTACGTTAAACTGGAGAAGAAATTTTGCGAAAATTTGACTCACGATATTTTTAGCACTAAATTTAATCACATAATAAATAAAAAAAGAAAATTACTATTTTTTTGATTATTCATTAAGTTTTTTATATATTCTCAATAAATCTTAAGTGATTTGAAATATAATTTTATTTTTTAATGTAATAATTTTTTTTTCTGTTAAATCTATTTAACTATCATTTTCACCCTTATAATAATTAATCGATCACTAATCACTTTTTCTTTTTCAATCAAATCTTCAAATCTTCAGATATTTGTTAAAATTCCTGTCCATCCGACCAACTACGCGCTGTGCACCTTTAGTTTTCAGGTTGACTCGCGTCTAACGCGAACAATTTTCCGTATCTTGAAGATTAGAAAATGTCCAACGAATTGACTTTCTGTCGTTTTTCTTTTTCTTTTTCGGTTGTTTGTGGGCCAAATTTGTAACAGTTCTGAGATATTTAGTACTTTACGCTCTAATCAGTATTTATCTGAGTGTGAAAATCTGTTTAAAAATGTCTTTTTGTTTGTTAATTTAGACAGATTTGCTAGCACTTGTGCTCGACATTTTAAAGATTTAAATCGCCAGCTGAATTCTCAAATAGTTTCTTCAGTAATTTGCTCTATTATGTCTTTCTATTTTATACAAAAAACAACAAAATTTTCAAAAAAATGGACATTAATAGAGATTTAAGGCAAACAATTAGAGAATTTTGATTTAGTAAGTGTTTGTATGTGACAAAAACAATGGAGAGTGCATTTTAAGAGACCGAATTAATCCAAACTGCATGAAGACCCCAATGGAAAAATACATTTTCTAAAATGTTGTTTTAATGTTGTTTTAATGTTGTTGTTGTTGTGGTTTGAGTTATTGCTATTGCGCTATTTTACTCTTTTGTGGCTGGGAGGCCTATCCCTGCCCCATACTAAGCTTTAATTATACTTGAACTCATATCGTTTATTTATCTTTTAACTGATGACGGACCGTAGAAGAAAGGGTTGGCAATAAACTTTGTAGATAGCCTGCATCATAGTTTTTATGATTGTATTGTGTTGTGCCTGCATATTATCCATCAGTTTCTCCATGTTGGTTTCTCTATTGGACGGAAGTTGCTAGATTCTGCTTCCTTTCTTCACAGCATCGGCATACGGAATTTTTTGATAAATGAGATTTAAGTCCTGACACATCTCAATTAACAAATCAACTGGGCGGACAAAATTACGTACTTCGGAATCACACTGGACAAAGGGTTCACATGGAAAACCGCCAACCCAACACACTTATAAAACTTCTACATCCACTAATCAACAACAAAAAACTGAACACCAAAAACAAAATCCAGCGTGACATATAGCAAGACCTGCAAAACCAATATCAAAAAAATACAAACAATCCAAAATAAGGCAAAACAAGGTTATTTTCAAATTCCCTTGTACATAAGAGCCAGATCGATTAAGAAAGAAACCAACATAAAACCTATCAAAATCCATATTAGAGATAAAGCAATTAAGTTATTCCAAAAGGTCGATAGACACAAATTTCACACTAGCGGTCCTAAAAATACCCAACAACAATAACCCTGCAAGCAGATATGCAGACCCAATCCATCGTAGAGTAACGGTATACCATAGATAGCGAAATTACCATAATCTAGCCCACATTAGGGAATAAAAGTTTTTTCATATCCAATTTCAGAATAAAATAAAATGAAGAAAAAGGAAGTCCTGTTAATTTACAATTTAGGTAATCTCCATGTGAAGAGCTACTCTTTTTTTTAAAATAAGATTTTATTTTTAATTAAATTAATTTATTCTTACATAAAGTAAGTATTTCTGTTTACATGAATTTATTTGAAAATAGATATTAATCATATATCAATGAATCTGCGCCCATATTATTTGTGGAGAGAGATATCCCTTAAAGGATACGTGTCAAAATTTCATGATATTCTGATAATTAATTTACAGGTTATAATGATTTAATTCACCGTCGCTTTGTAATTTTTAAAACAATGTATAAAAAAAGATTTTCGTGTGTTGAAAATTTAATTTTTTTTTTAATTTAGAAAAATGCTGTGAAAGGGCCTTGATAAGCGGTATAAACAAAACATCTTTCAGGTCGCAGTGCATGCACAGCCTATCTATTATAGACGGTATGGAAGCTCTGCACCAGGAAAATCAATTATTATTGACTGATATAATAAATTTAAACGCGGTTTTAAAAACGCGGCTTATATATACGGTTGGTTGGTTGTTTGTAGTGGCAGGCCATCAGGTAACTTTCCATGTACCTCAATTACCGATATTCCTCCGTTTTGCTACCACATCTATTGCAACAGTCACAGAATACAAATACAGTGTAAATAGAAGATTACAGGCTAAATCCATTCCATTCGAATTTAGATAAAATTGCAAAGGAACAGCTTGCTAAAAACATTTCTTCTGGATGGCAAAGCAGGGCATTTACAGGGAAAGTGTTTAATGGTTTTTTCTATAGGTATCCACAACTTCTGCAATGTGGATTATGAGCAATGCACAGTTTCTCTGAGTGGGGCATTTATGTATACTTTAATATGTAGTTATATTATAACTTTTATGAAAATTAATGCAACAATTATTTATAATTTTTATACATTTTATTGTGCTGGATAATTTTTTTTACTATTACAGATCAACCTTATTAACACTTCAATTGATAATAGAAGAAAAAAATAATTTAAAAAGCAATTGCATTCTGAGCCTTAGTCATTGGAATTAATTTAAAAAAATTTATATTATACAATTTTATCAGTTCTCAGAAACATATGCATATATCCATAATAGAAGCCTTAACTATATTAAAAAATATGAAAGACAAATACTTTACTAATTAACGACACGAAATAATTCGTTAATTCTTAACAAAAATTAAATATAAAAATGTATTTAAAATATTGATTTGAAATGAACCGGTTATTCATACCTATATGATCAATAAAAAGATTATGAACTCTATTCATATATACTTATGAACTCTATCTCCTTTATGGAATAAAACAATTAGAAACCCCAGATTGAATGTAGTGTACCAACTACCAGTTTAGTGTTCACTATTATTATCGTGTTCGCTTTCCATATTTATGTGATCAAGGGCCTGAACATTTCCATTTTGTTCACTATATACATTGGTACCACGTGCATCAATTAAAATGGTTTCATCCGATGTTGATTTATTATTGGAATTTTTATCAATATTTTTTGCTTGAAATAAAGAAAAATCGTATTTATGTAAATTTGAACTCCATATTAGAAGCTGAAATAAAAAAAAATTTAATTAAATATAAAAATTATTTAATTTAAATGCAATATAAAAATTACACGTCAGCTTTTAAAACACTTCATGAAGTAGAGTTTATTATATTATTAAAAATAATAATAATAATATAGAACATTGCAGAATATACTAAAGTTTTAAACTAAATAAAGTATATTATTATAAAATTGTAAAGCTTTTAAAGCAACTTATATGTCATCATTAACAGAAGTAACTTAAAACCTTTAAAAAAAAAATAAAAATTAATAAAAGTGCTCATTGCGAACTATGAAGTAATATTCAGAAAGTGAGTTAATTGCTAGGTATTACTAATCCTAGCAGTGTTTTAATTTAACTTGGACAGTCAATACTTTAATTTCGCTTACTATAAGAAAGAACTACTATAAGAAAGTTCTTTAACAACTTACCTTCTTATCTGTGCCAGCAGAAGAAAATATACTACCATCAGCTGAAAATGAGACTGCACTTACAGGTCCAACATGTCCAGTTAAAGTATATACAGGACGTCCCTCTAGTAAATCAAGTACTTTTATAGTCTCATCATCACTACCAGTAATCATAAAGTGTCCGTTTGGATGAAATGATAAATCATTTACAGGAGCAGAATGAACTTGATACAATTGGATTAATTCTGTTTCACCAATGTCAAATAGTTTTACACGATTACAAGTAAGAGCTACTGCTACAACATTACCATCTGGGTGCCATGCTACTTGCCGACCCATTCCGCGTTCTTCCGTAAACGTACGTATGCATTGACCGGAATTTATATCAAATATGCGTAAAGATTTATCATCTGAACAAGAAGCTATTAATTTTCCATTTGGACTAAATTTAGCAGAGCGCACCCAGTTAGTATGATATGCGAAAGATGTAAGGAATTTTTGTTGTGCTACCTTCCACAATTTTATGGCTTTATCATCCGAAGCTGTTACAACCTACAATCGCAAATCTCGTTATTGTGTTGTATATAAAATTATTTTTACAATAATTTACCATCATTCCCGTTGGATCGAAATCAACACTTCGAACAGTCTTGAGGTGAGCAACAAATTCACAAGACACGCCACGTATTTTGGGTTCCCAAATTTTTACTCTACGATCTTGGCCTGTAGAAGCAATTAGATTTGAAGACGTGCTGACTCCATAAACAGGACCAGTGTGTACGCAGAATTGTAAGCAACGAGCTTCTTGTTTCAGGTCCCATAATATCACTGATGAATCAGTTGAACCAGTAACAATTTGATTACCATTTGCATTGAATCGTATTGCTGTTACAGCACCAATATGGCCAGTATAATGTTTTCGAAGGGCAGGTTCCAAATAGGTTCCAGTATTAGCAGTCATGATAATTTTATAAAGTTATGTACATATATAAAAGTAATTATATTCAATATATATGTATTTTCTATTTGTAACTGATTCAACTGATATGTATTACCCTTCTAGACAATCCTGTCTTTAGAGTAGCAAGGCTATTTCACTGAAATTTAGATTTATTGTTAAAGAAAAAAATTCGATACTACTATGATTTGACAATATTATCTTAGCTTTGAAGTTTTTTTTGTTGTTACAACATATTTAATATATAGTACAAGGCAACAACATATTTTTGTTATATATACATACCTTTACCTCCTATGAGAAGCATAGCGCCGCAAAGTAATATCGCCTACTACATTTTATATATTATTATTATATTGAGGCTAGTTGAGTCAGTGCACTTCAGCACTTTTATTTCATATTAACTGCGAGGTTTCAACATAACCCCTCTTTAGGCCTTGACTGGATTATTGTTTATCACTTCATCAGACTAAACAATAACTGACCTCAGATCTGCATATCTCTGCATAGATCTGCATAGCTCTATTCTTTATATATTTTTTGATCGGATCAATCTTGAGGATGCATTTCGTCCTAATGTACCATGGCACCTTGAAAAGTCTTCTCAGTATCTGACTTTGTGCAATTTCTAGCTTGCTAAACGCTACACACCCATATAGAAGTTAGTGTTATATACTTAGCGTTATATTATTTTTTTTAAATTACTATATATATCACAGAATTGTTGCAAGAAAATGTGATTTATTTTTATTGGCTAATAGGCTTTCTACATTTGTTTCATTAAAGAACTTTGCCATAAATACTCAGAACGATTAACTTACCCGAAAATTAATTTCAGTAGTTTTCAAGGGAAACAAAATGTTATGAGTTCAGAGAAAATAAGTTGGACGTAATTTAAAATATTTTGACAACAATCATAAAAACATAGATCGAATCTAAAACTTACGGAGTGCTCGATATTAGCATCAAATTCGATAAATACTTCACTCTATCACATGATATATTAACATTTGTAATCAGCATCTACATCGGTTGGACACTTTGGATAATACGAAAGTTAACTAAAAAGATACCAGCAGTACTTCAAGCATTGTCACATCATCAAGGATTTGAAATAACAGTCGAATAGTTGAATCTAAGGGTTCAACCGGGGGACCTGTTATATCATTATCTTTCTGTATTAAATTTATTATTTATATATTTTGCTTATAAATATATTTTGTAATCATTTGTTAAATTTATTATCTATAAACAAACAAAATAGTATTGAAATTTAACGATTAAAAAAAAAATATAATTAATTAATTCAGTTATTCTACAGCTGGTTTATGATTTTGTTCTAATATTATCACAGCAAGTGAATTTATTAATAAAACTTTGATAGGAAAGTAACAAAACTCCAGAAAAATGTCCAGACATAAAAGTCAAGTACGGCTCTGGGTCAGTTCGTTAAGGAGCGCTGCCTCTGAGATTCAAATTTGGGAGGACACAAGTTCGATTCCTGGTACTTGCAGTTTCAAAGAAAATTATTTACAAATAATTAAATACAAGAATTATTTTCAAGACCACTGATGATGGGTATTCGGCAATACTCGAAACAGCATTATGATCAGCTAAAAATTCAATTAAATAAAATAATATAAAATAAATTTTTGTTGTTGTAGTTCACTACTTTTCGAAAAAATCTCTTTATTATCTATATGTTTTGCATATAAATGTATTTTGTACGAAAGAAAATATAAGCAAACCTATTTAGACCGCTTTAAGACCTATTCAATTAACACACCTTAAAGCAGAAAGCACTTTAAAGGAAAACTTGAAAGTCTTGAAAGTAGTTTACATATAGAAAACTGACAGATGTGATTAACATAGCAGTATACAATATGTATTGCCACCCCTAGGAACTCTAAATATTAAATATTCTAAGTATTAGTAGTCTAACTCTGCTGACGTATTACATAGAACACTACCCAAAGTTATTACCTAAACATGTCAACAGGGCAGAGTTTCAATTTATCTTAAGGAACACACCTAGTGACTTAGTGAAAGTCAATGAAAATAAATGATTAGTTATATTTTTAGAAATTTAAATTTATATTCTTGGTTCAAAAAATATGTTTACTATTAATTTACTTTAAGATATTTTAAATCAAAAATATTTTTTTGTAATTTTGATCAGTGATGTGCCATGAAGATTTTACACGTTCCCAGTTGAACAAGTCGCATAACTTAATTGCTAAATAATAATGACAAATGAAAGCAAAAACAAAAACAAACACAAAAACAATACCTTTGTAAAAGAAAAATTATATAAAAATAAAAATCCAAATAAAATAAAATTAAATAAAATAAAATTATTTTAATTTGCGATGTGAAAATTTCGCAAGTGGAAAAGTGATTCTGATTTGGCGTGTATCTAGGATAGTTGTTTGCAGCCAATTCGCCCTGCTATTTTTGCTGCTGCGCGCTCTCACAGATCAACGTTGCCAGCGGACAATGCTGGCAACGTTGACAAATACAAATGGAAATGGAGGTGGCGACTGGTTCTTAGCTCTACTTAGCGCTAGATACATTTGGTTCGCTTGGATTTTTCGCACTTTATTTATGAAGGTTTCGCAATGTTTTTCAAATAATGTTTTTCTATAAAACATTATTTTCTCATGTCTTTTTTTCGAATTGCAAACTAATACTGATAATTAGTGAAAATACAATAAATTATTGTCATTCTTGCTATTTCTTTTTTCTTTTTTTATTATTTTAATCGAATTAGTTACGGTTTTTATAAACATTTTTTAGTCGATCTGTTAGCATATAAAAATTAAACTTATATATATATTATTATTGGCATAAAATTTTAAAATTAATTTTTAGAACATTTATATTAGTCAGATTATTAAAATAAAACATTGCATGTTTCAAGTCTAAGTAAACCGATTTTTTTACTTTTTTCAAAATAAATTAAGAAAGTCTTATATATATAGGTGGGTAGGTTGGAGTGGCGGCCTTGTTTCCAAAAAACCCAGTTGATCGCAAAGGATAGCCCATTGTGGTACCACAGAAATAGCATTGGTTAAAATGCTTGAAGTATTTCTTATAAAAGGAGTACCAAACTCTTTTGACATATTTGTTGAATTTCGTTATTACTTATTGCGATTCGAGTTATGTTTATACTGTTTGGATTAAATCACAAATTTCTAAAAATTAAGCAAGAATCTTTATAAATCTGACTAGAAAGAGAGAGGGAGAGAGAGAGAGAGCAATGCACGAAAGGGGTAAAGAGGTACTATGAATAAAAAATAAATGAATTAAAATTAAGTTAATGAATGAAGAAGAAGACATTGATCTATGAGCTTACATTATAAGGTAATATTATATTATACCAAAGTAGTGTTTCTACATAATACACGTAGTAATAATACACATACTCTACACATAGCCATAAATTCTAAAGTAATGACAAATATTTTCTGACTTTCCAAGATCATCTTCTGACAGCGAACTCACGGAAAAAATTTACAACCTATAATAAAAAAATATAATAACCATGCTTCAGAGTACTACGTTAGTTGCACTAGGTGGACTGATAAATACCCAGCCTAAGAAATAAAAACGAAATTTTTATGATAAATTATATTTTATGCTTCAATATAGTCATCTTTTAGCTCGACACACCCAATCCAATTATCCTTCACCATTTGGATACCTTTTAAATAATTCGACTCATAAAGTCCTCCAAAATATTCCTCAGTTCCCATTCCATTTCATCATTTGATGCAAATCTCTTTCGCTGGAACTAACTTTTCAAATTTAGAAAAGGGTAATAGTCACTAGAAACTAAATCTAAAGAATACAAACACCTGGAAAATCTGGAAAAACGATGGTTGTTTTTCTCATTGATCCAATAATATGCAGTAGTAGTCTGATGTTATCATAGTCGTTTAGGAACACTAGCTGCGGACTCTAGCTAGTGTACTCTAGCTCAGATGTGAAGTAGTCGAAGTCGTTGTCGTTTTTGTTCAATTGTGTTCGTCTAGTACATAATACCATTGCAACGTCAGTCCGTCCCTTTTACAACGAATATGAATATAAATATGGTCACTAAAAGTTATGGATATGAATTAGCTATATATTGAAATATATTTGAAGTAAAAATAATACGAAATTATTTGGCCGGTTAAAATTACCTGAGCACATATATAATTATAATTATAGTTAAAATAACAAATTAGTCATTGACGTAAGCAAAGCTAATCACCACCTTATTAAAGATGTCCAAAAAAAGCAGACCAAAAAGAAAATGAATTATTAGAATATCCTTAAAAGATTAATATTAAAAATAACACTGCACTTAGGTATAAAAGAAATGCTGGAATGCGTACAATGAAAACAGCTCTGATCCATACCAAACTAAATTATAATAATGTTTTAAGTTTATAAATAACAAAAAACCTATCATTAGTTGTAGTTGTAGTATTCTTCTTTATTATATATAGATTATATTTACATTTACAAAATTAACTTTATACATTTTCAATAATTAATAATATTCAAAATATAAATATTATAAATAATTATACTATAAATAAGTAACATATAACTAAATTGACATAAATAGTGTCTATTTTTTATTTGTACGATTATGGCTTTCGCCGTCAATCGGAGGTTTGGATTTGTTGCATTTTTTTCATTACAGTAACTATTATATAAGTGAGACATTGAAAATAACACCCTATTAGTGTTAAAATGCTTCTAATATAATATTTTCTCTATAGCGAATTGCCGTTTTCACATAGATCGATAAGATATGTCAGTTTTTACTATTTAGCAGCCTCATTAACTCGTTCATACCTAACGTTTGTTTTCCAAAATAATGTTCCCGTAGCTCCATTAAAATTTGACATTTACTAAGAAAATGTATTAGATCTTCCTTTTCTGTATTAGATATAGCTAAGATTTTAGGTAACCGCGAGTTTTCCATGTGAAAAACATTTAACATGTACTTGAAGTAGATTTCTAAAGTGTACAAGTACAGAGGTGACAAGCCAGTCACCAAATAAATCATTCGGTTGGATTTGTTAAGCGGTAATCGATATATTTTTTTTTCAAAAAATCATAAAAGTTTTTCTACTTCCTAAACATAATTTGTAAACAATCTGGACTTTCTGCTAGG